AGCACCCGTGTATTTCACGAGGAGTGGTCGCTGCTGGCATGCTGATCCTTCATGCCTGAGGCGATTTGCCACCCAGGAAATCACCGAGAAGAACTACTGCACCAGATGCTCGCATCTGCTTGGTGGCATTTTGCAGCCGGGCGACTGGGAAGACAGCTGAGCCGCGACTTTTCACCCCCTTTGTGTTTTTTTTTATCCTTCACACTTCCACCGGTGTGAATTGCGTGCTACGCAATAGGGATTTGCATATAGGTTTGGGTGTGGCCACCTCATTTTGCCATTCCCCATTGCCCTTTTGGGCCCAATGCCTATTTTAAGGGCGTACAACCGTGCCTGGGTTTCCCATGGGCATTTGAGCCTGACTACGCTGCTGCGCAGCCCTGACCAAAAGGCTGCCGTTGACATTGCCAACCTGTACTTCGTGTGACAGCTTGGGGTTTCGGGATTGGAAAGGACGCTACCGAAACAACAGAAATAATAAATATATGAGCCGCGGAAATTATTTGGTACAAAACGCAATTAACGGGGTGTTCCTACCTCGTTTTCCAGTCCCGTGATGTTTTTTGGGGTCTGACCTCGTTCTCCAATGCCGCACTTGTTTTTAATAGCAAAATACTTTGTGTGCGATGCCTACCTCGTTCTCGGGGTGTTCCTACCTCGTTCTACAACCTAACTACGATGTTTTCGACAAACCGGGGTACGCCGCAATACTATTCTCCATTTAACCAAATAAAAGACGCTGCTCAATATATATATATATTATATATATTAAAAAAAAAATACTAAACCTGAGAAGGGGTGGAACGAAAGCCATCGCTTGCTTTTTGACTCGCGCGGGGGCGCGTAAAATTCCACCTCATCCATATGGCATGGCTCAAACATGAAGCGCCCCAACATCAACAATTGCTATCGGGTCATAAGTTTCCAATCATTAAATGGACCTTTTTAGGGTAAACTCCACGATTTTGTAACTTCTATATCCAAATATGTTTCCTACAATGTACTGCGGCATTGTGAAAAGTTCTATCTCAAGTTCCGCAAAACCGCCTTTGGTTGCTCATTTATCTTAAAACAGCGCAAGTTTGCTCCCACCTATTGTAGATAAAAAATACCCGCTTTTTTGTGTGAACAGTGGTCATGTGACCTCTCAAAGTCTAAATTGTTTTCTCCCCAGAATCGTGGTCCATGCTTCTCCGCGAAGTTCCGCGACATTTTGGCCGTACAGTGAGAAATCAAAACATAGCTCTACTCGCAAAATGGGCAGTGCAAACCCAAGACAATATTATAACATACGTAAGAAAGGGTATAAGAACGAATGAAAATCGAGGAAAACAACACAAAACCCACGGGAAATATAGAACAGTGGCGAACATGCAGTCCAAATCAAAAGTATATATATATATATTTATTTAGGCCATTTACAAACCTGGGTGCCCCCCCCCCACCCCCCAAGGGTCTGGAAAATAGGTATTTTACAGGAAATGTCGCGGAATAGCATCATCCCTGACATCGATAGAGATAATTGTTTGGCATCCCGGAAAATCTTCTCAGCTATCACACTCGCCAAACATCCCTTTTAAAAGGCACACATACTATCACGGACGTACAGATGCATATCATTCCCGTCATTGCCATTAGAAGATTCAAATTCTTTCTCGATGTTTTAGTACAAGATTCACTTTTAGTTCTGTTTCAGCCTTCTCAGTACGGCCTCTTACAATGATATTGCAGTCTCCTAACCTAGGTGGCTCCTGGGCGCAATCTTCATTCCAATGCTTTGTGACAATAACCAGAGGCCTGGAGCCTATGCATCACTTGACAGTCGACTCAGTTCTAAACCGGAAAGACTATTCCTTCCGTTTACCAGTAGATCGTTTTTGTAGTTCTTATCACAAAACTACCAGAATCAGGGAGGCACCAAAAAACGTCAAACAGCTTTAAGCATTATAAATACTCTAATCTGCAGATTGTATTTATTTTTCTTACTCTGTGAACGAAATCACACTTTTCTAACTTCACACAGATTACCATGAAACCAATTTTCCCATGCAACTCCTAAAATCTTACAACTCATACATCTTTTTTCCTATACCATCCGCATCTTGCTCCAAGGTTTCATGGCAATGTCTTGTACGCGAGTCAGCCACTATTTCCTATCACCAAACTACATTGCTCATCATCTAACATTATCTACAGAAACCAAATCGGATTTCCTGCTCAACGTTTCCGCTCGTTGACATTGTCTTGGTTTTCACTGTATTTTTAAAGCATTTTTAGTTATAACATGTTCCTAGGTTTTCACTGTATTTTTCTAACATGTTGCATGCCTCCTAGCATGTTCACGCGTGTCCTCCATGTTGTACTGTTTTCTACATCGTTTCCTCTAGTTGTTACAAGCATTTCCTAGCTTGTACACCGTTTTCCTAATATTGTCACAACTTTTCTTCCAGTTTCCACTGCTTTTTCTCCCGTTTCCTGTGGTTACTTTCTTCTCTTTTGTAAGTTTTCACTGTGTTTTGTCCAGCTTTTTTTATTACATGTTTCCTACCATTTTCACCGCTTTCCTCTATGGCTTTTTGTACCATGTCCTCTCGTTTCCTGCATTTCATGCATTTTCAGTATATTGTTCCAAGAGTTTTACCTGTCTCCTTCAGTTTCCGATCGTTTTTGCACCATTTCCTCTGGTTGTTATCGCATTTTCCTGCACTTTCACTGTATTTTTCCAGCATGTTTACTGCATCGTCATAGTTTGTTCCTAGCAGTCGCTCCGGTTTCCTCCATGTTCCAACAGATTTTGCACCCTTTATTCTGGTTGTTATCACATTTTCCTGCCAGGTTGTTATCACATTTTCCTTCACTGTATCTTTCCAGCATTTTCCAGTGGATTTTGCACGATTTCCTCTGATTGTTATCATGTTTTCCTGCAGTTTCTATATCCTCTTCGTGGGTTTTCAGTCTACTCATGCATTTTTAATCTATTTTTCCAAGAGTTTTACCCGCCTCCTTCATTTTCCGATCGTTTTTGCACCATTTCCTCTGGTTGTTATCGCATTTTCCTGCACTTTCACTGTCTTTTTCCAACATGTTTACTGCATCGTCATAATTTGTTCCTAGCAGTCACTCCGGTTTCCTCCATGTTCCAACAGATTTTGCATGGTTTGTTCCTAGCATTTTCCTCTGATCGTTATCATGTTTTCCTCAAGTTTCATTGTATTTTCCAATACATCCTCTTCGTGGGTTTTCAATATGTTTTGTCCAGCATTTTTTTACTACATGTTTCCTATCATTTTCACCTCTTTCCTCCATAGGTTTTTGCACCATTTCCTCTGGTTTCCTGCATGTTCATACCTTTTCAATGTTAATATTAATCCAAGAGTTTTACCTGTTTCCTTCATTTTCCGATCCTGTTTGCACCATTTCCTCTCGTTGTTATCACATTTTCCTGCACTTTCACTGTATTTTTCCAGCATGTTTACTGCATGGTCATGGTTTGCGCCTAGCATACGCTCCGGTTTCCTCCATTTTCCAAGGAATTTTCCATGGTTTGTTCCTAGCATTCGCTCCGTTTTCGTCCGTTTTCCAGGGGATTTTGTACGATTTCCTCTGATCGTTATCATGTTTTCCTGCAGTTTCATTGTATTTTCCAATACATCCTCATGGTCTCTCCGGCCACCAAAAAGGCGGACCTAGGGGGAATCGATACCCCACCGTCAGCAAATTACCTAGTGGTACATAATCCAGCAAAATGCTCCGTTTTCTGGCGCTCAACACAGGGGCACGGCGAGATTTCGTTCCCTTTCGGCAACCACCCCCCCCCACACCCCCTATTCTCACTTCGTTCGCAAACAGCAACTAGCCAGCTAGCTGGCTTTCGTAATAATCTATCCATTACGATAATTTTTTATTATCCGGATAATTGGAATCAAATCAATGATAAATATATATATATAATTATTTTTATATTGAAAATGTAAAATTAATTGAACCAAATGGAAGCGAAAATATATATGAAATACAGTATATCCTCATTCAATGGTGGGTCAAATTATGAAGAAAATTATTTGGACAAAAAAACGCCACTATTATTCTATGTGGCTCCTCAATTCATCCTAACTCCTCAAAAAATACTGGCATATACTGGCAATTTGGCATAGTTGTGGTTTATTCATGCATGTTGTCCTTTTGCGACGAACTTCGTCTATCGGAAAATGAGGACCAAGAATAGATTTGGGATCAATATTGGCAAAAGCCTATTTCGTTGAAAGTGTAAGGGATTCATGGGAATTCCTTTTTTTTTGGTCGCAAGATATGTTTATTGCAGAAACCACGCAGCGGCAATTGTGGTCAGGGAATTACACATAAGTTAAAAGTTTCGACATAATGTGCATCGATATCCCTGCCCATGATATTCCTCAATATGATTAAATCAGGACCCGCAACAACATTCAACTCTGAAACAACAGTTTCCGCCCTGACCACAAAATGCAACTCTGGTTGAGCTTCCGTCGTCCGACTACTTCCTGGAGGACAAGATTTGAGAAGAATAAACGGTTTAAACGGTTTAATACGGTGCTGTATCTCTAATTTGTATTGATTTGTCATGTCAATCACTGGCAAAATGGGATCACCATGCCAGGGCGATTATCACCATCCCAGAAAATAATCCTGGTCTTGTTCCGAACGTCCAATACAACGATGTTCCCAGCCCTCCACAGTTTTTTGTGGTGTCACTGCACAATCCACAGCTGGGAAGGGTCAGCGAGCCATGCTTTTGGAACCCAAAGAAATGGCAAGCCGAAAAGCCAGCTGCCTTCTCCATAAGTCTCAATAGAACCCATTGAACTCATTGAACCTTCACATATTTACTTAGCATATACTTAGCATGTAATCAAAAAATCAAGCCAAGGGCGTTCAAACTTCTTCTACTATCATACCCTGATGTTCCAAGTTTCAACATGTTCCAACTTTAGGAAAACACCACTGGATACCACTGGCCTTGTCTTTTGTTATTGCCTGAGGCTGTGCCCCTTCTGCCGCAGGCGTCTACGCCGCATCACACCGATTCCCTTTCTGGGACCTCAGCCACGGATGCTTCAGCCAAGATGGGACCATCTTCCTAAGGCCAGCCGGATGTAGTGTATTTATACTATATAATTTATAATGTAGTATATTTCGGGACCCGATCGGAACACAAGAAGCAGAGTCGAGGCATTTTCAAGCCCTGACTCGGCCTTTCGTGAGACAATGGTGCCTGATGCTGCAGGCGACCAAAAATCGGGCAGCCATGACCACCCAATTTTTGCGGCTTGTACCATTCGTGTTTACAGTAGGTGTCTATATTATTATGTATTCTTGAGCATTCTCATACCTCACTCTTCGGCATGGTAACAACGGACTATGCAATGGGACCCAGCAAAGATTGGGCGAAAGGTGGAAGATCTGTAACCAGCATCAGAGTTCCGTCACCTTCGAAGACATTCATCTGGGTCTCCAAGTCTGCCACGGATTGAAACTTCAAGATCTTCAGCTCGGCAAGAACCTCCACACAGGTCGTAGCAGTATGAATGGACCCTTGGGCCCTTGGACTTTTGCAACTCCGAGATAGGACAATCGCAGCACGTGAAGCATCTGAGTGACCTCCTGCCATTGAAAATCTTAGCCTTCATATGCCTTCCAGCGGGTCCCAATATGTCCCAATCCAATGATAGCAAGACATGAGACACGCTAAACATCGCTAAACCATTCAACATCATTCAACATCAGGGCGAAGACCTTCAAGAAGAAGTGCATCTTGCAAGGCAGCATCAAAGTTGCGGGGAAAGGAATCACCAATGACACTGCAACCACACACAAGGCCACGAGAATCCCTCTTGAGGAGTATGATGGTTGTTGCTTCTGAGATCTTCGAGGTGGATGCATCCCGAGCGATCTCCAGTCAATGTTGGCAAATTGTTGGCAAAGGACGTGTCTTTTTCACCGTGTCATGTTATCGCCAAAGGTCCAGTGTCTCAACACAAATTTGCTCAGGATCAAGCCTGTTGCCCTGCATCTGGGAACCTCTGAAACCAGCTTTGCATATCCCAAAAGTATTGATGTGGAGGTGGAGGTCCGGTACCCTGGCCCTTGGGAATCACCAAGTTCTTTCTCTAAATCCGCCAATGTTCCATCTAGATCCATCTAGCAGGTCAAAGCCAGAAACATCTTCTCCCGCGACTTCGCAAGGGTCACAGTGATTATATCATCCCAGTCATTGCCGGCAAGAACGAGGCATTGAGCACTGACATGATGCATCATGATGAGTTTGAAACCTGGACGCCACACCTTGAGCCAGAACCGGAATGGACACAATATAAACCGATCCCAAGCGTAGTGGGAACGGATGAGAACCGGAACCGGCCCACAACAAGAACAAAAGTCGATCAATTGGATCCGTTTCTTTAAATCTTGGACACCATTCCTTCCAATTCAGTGTATTTTCATGTTCCTTTATATTCCTATCAGTCTCTCAGCGGGAAAATTCCAAATGATATGGCTAGAACTTTTGCAATGCCGAAGTTGATTAATGCTGTGAAATTGAGAGATGTGTTTTCATTCAGAAAACATCAAAACGTCTTCTTTAAAGGAATTGAATAGCGCAAGAATGGGTTTTCTCATGTTTTGGAGCCTGGAGACGATGCCTGAAATCGACTGAAGTCCAACTAAAATATGCAAGTTGATTCTTTCTGCAGCCCCTTTTGATGGATTGCACCACGAAAAATCATCAAACAGGAGCTCTACCTGGACAAAAAACCGATACGTGCCTTTCAAATCTGCGACCCATTGACGTTTGGAAAACAGGAGAAACAAGGCCGGATTTGTTTCTTGTCAATGGTGGCGGAAACTTTGGAATCGCAACTTGGCCCAATGGCGCCAAACACTGCTCTACCGAGACACATAGAACCACTGAGCTGATGCCCAACAGTGAAATATCCGAGAGATCGCTGAGAGAAAAGAACATCTATAGACATAACAAAAAACCATACATTCTCATTTGTTCCAGATACAGTATGCAGTATACTAAGTTTAATTTCTCTTACAAATCGTATTCATAATGTTTATCTTAGGTTGCGAATTTCTTGAAAGACTTGTTTAGTGACCAATGTTGTGCTTATCTACTTTGAATGCTGCCGCCAAAGCTTGCACTTCCAAAAATCATCAATGAAAGGAACCGTCCACTTTACGGAGGCGCAGATGGGTTGCTGAAATAAAACAACCAACCACATGGCTGAATCAACTCTCATATTTTCAATGATATGATATATATATATATATACATATATATATATCGCTTGACCCTGCAAAACAACAGATTTAACCTATCTGGCACTATCCCAAATATGGTTGAACCATGCAAAACAATATTTGAAATCAATAAGCAAACAACCACCACCATACCGAGGTGTCCACAGTCATTAAACTGGCGACATCCGGCCACCTGGCATTGGAGCCCACAGCTGCCAGATGCTGCCAGTGGGGGGTCGTGTTTTACTGAGGGAAACCCCTACGTCGCTATGTGTTGTTTTTGCAATAAGTGGAATAAGATCTGTTTCAAATCTGTTTCATATTTTTTTTACAGTCAATTCCTCTTCGTTCAAAGAATAAATCCTGATGGGTTGGTCAAGTTCCTTTTGTTTTTGGTGAAACTTCCCTTGGTTTCGTCACTAAATGTCACTAAGTATCTTGAATGTTTACACAATTTTACTTGGGCTATCTTCATGGCTGAAAAATTGCCATAACTTGGAGGGACTCTCCCGGGTACACAAATGACAGGCTTGCTCCCAACACCCAAATACCGAGTGGGCAATTATAAAATATGTGACAAAATCACCTATCCCCCCCCTTATGTGGCTATCTTTTGCCTACCAATATTACATATAAATCGGAGGAACCAAAATCCTGAATCTTGAATCCTATCCCCTTGGATTCAAGAATTCTTTTTGGGATCTTGAATCTTGAATCTTGGCCCTTTTGCACAAGACTTCTCCGCAACTCTTGGATCTTGGATCTTCAATTTGGGGAAGAATGCATTCTGAATGCATTCTTTGCAAAATCCTCAGAAAATAGAGCTAAAGGCTAAAAGAACCAATAAAAACATAGGATCGTTCAAAGTAAAAATGCATATTCACCCAATGCTAGAAACTCTTTTAATACCTATAAAAACATCACAAAATTAAGAACTATAAAAGAGTAAGACAATTTAATATGACACATCTATTAAAAACTGATCTATATAGATATTTTTTACTTATTATATAAATTATTATCAACATCATTTATGTTTAAAAGATACTATATCTAACTCAAGCACTCCTGGATTTAAAGCAATGAAATTACAAGATCATCTACATTATACAGATTTTAAAATGAATCATTACAGCAAACAAATATAAATTCTTCTACAAAAAAAGATGGTAGATGCTGAAGAAAAAACTAATGGAAATAACGTAGGTTCACAAGAACAAAAAAACAAATAACATCAAATGAGAATATGATGGATTATTGTCAATTTACTATGCAAAGCTTGATGGAATGTTATGAAATTGTAGGAGGATTAAACAAGTAAGTAATTGCCTTATAAAAATGTAAAATCTCAAGATGCACTAACTATATCACCTAATCTTGCACAAAGCTCAGCTTTGGTAGAAGCTAAAAGGTATCAAATTGCTACAGAACATTTAGTGAACATGAATTCCACCAGTAGTAATTATAAACAACTACCTTACAAAAAGTTGTATTCATCAAACAAATAAACAATATGCTATACTCTGTTGTAAAAACATATAACAAAGTTTCAATCCATCTATTCCCTTAATCATATTGCTGCAAATGCTAAAGGTCATGTAAAAATACCAAATGTTGTAGAAGATATTGAAAACGCAGACTTGCAAGAATCAAATCATAGATATAAAATTCGTGTTGATATATTCAAAATGTCTGAACACATAAAAAAGAAAACATTAAATATAATGAAATAAATATGTACAATATAGATGCTATAGCGCTATGCTGCTACATATGTGGGCAGGATGTCTCCAGCTACAATAGGTGATAAGATAAGAAGGAAAACAAGGCATTCAGGAACATATCTGCTACACAAAAGGTAGGTCTTTGGGGTGCACATACCAGAGCATCCCATGATTCGATACCCATAAAAATCATAAAAGGCTTGCTTTTCACCAGTAGCGTTTCTGCTGGTTGCAATGGCGATGTTTAACCCAACTCATAATAAGTTGCTCAAAGTGATTTTTTTCAATCCGTGATATCGAAATCCGTGATATCCCAGGAAATCCATGATGTTTTGGGTTTTTCTATGGTTTTCATGGATTTCCTATGGTTTTTCATGGTTTTCCTATGGTTTTTCCTATGGTTTTCTCAGCCCTACGTCTGGACGTCGCGTCGACCTCAGAGGAGATCGACGTCCTCCTCCTTGGGGCCACCTCCCGGAGGTCTCGCTAATCTGGGCACCTTGGGAGCGAAAAAAAACACATCCCAGCAGTGCAAGAAATATGTTGTATAATTATAATATACCCTCTGGTTATTTAACAGTTTGCCATGGAAAGATCCACCATTTTTAATAGGTAAACCATCTATAAATGGGCCATTTTCCATGGCTATGTTAAATAACCAGAGGGTATATATATATATTGTATATATATACATATAATATATATATATAATACCTATATATAAATTATATCATATACATATGGAGGTTTTTTCTAAAATGGCTACCCCCCAAATCATCCTTATTTTTACAGTAGGATTTTCCATCATAAACCATCCCTTTTGGGTTACCTCCATTTGTGGAATCCTCCAAATAATCAAATAGTTAGAATTGCATTCTAATTAACAGTTTCTCTAATCTTAGAATCATTGTTTTTCCCCTTAGGCCCACTGAAGATCACGCTGCGGCCATGGCTGGTTCTTAGAATTATATGTATGTGAAATGTATATATATATCATATATATGATTCTATGATGATGCTCATACAAAAACACACATCTAGATTCTAGCTGATTATGTATTGAATTATAGCAACTCCAAAAAGAGATAACAGTTGGACGATGAATCATAAACACATATGCAACATTCTGGAACAAACGGTCTATCACGATCTATCTGTGGGGCTGTGGGGGTTGAGACATGCACTGTAGGCTTGGAGCAAATGGGTATGGGATTAGGACTAGTTCTGTCGTCAAAAAAGTGGTTTCGGGGTTGGTTTGGCAAAAAAATGCATCACTTACCTAGAATGTTGTTAACATAGGGTATTTCTGCTCTTTTTCATCCCCCAACCAATACAGAAAGGATATCTACTGTATCCGTGAGAGATGTGTAGATGAAGAATCGAAAATGGGAGCGGCCCAGAACATGAAAATGAGATAAAATGAGATGGTTCGATGAGTATCAAACGCGTCAATGGCACAATATAATATGGATCTTACTTGGGGAAGATAATGATGTTGAACGAGCACAATCTGGTGAAAATTTGTTTCGGTCATGGGGTTTTCAACCATGATCGTTCCATGTGTCTACTGAAACTTGTGTGGTTGAAACATTCTTGACCCTGTGGGACCCTGTGGCACCCTGTGGCACCCTGTGGGACCCTGTGGCACCCTGTGGCACCCTGTGGGAGATGGCTTTGGAACAGCTGAGTGAAACTCAGCTGTGAGTTGCCGGAATTCCCTACAGCAGAATCGACCCATCAACCATTGAAGAGGTCTGGGCACTATGCAGGGGTGCCCAATCGGCTTTGCTTTTGGTGACCATTTTTTAGTCAGCACATATGTCAATTTCAAGATACAAATACTGAGAGCAAATGAAAAGAATTGACTGCAGAACCAATCAAGGCAGATGCCTTTTTAGAGATTGGGTTTCCACCTTTATGTCCTGTAATATCCTGTAAATAATGCTGTAATGTTAGTCTCAAACAAAACAAGTACTCGGCCAAAGTAGAGAAAGGTTTCTAGAGAAAGGGGGGGACGCCATGATCTAACCCAGGTTTCCTTACCAGTTGGTGCGGGCATCTTTCACATGTTTCAGTCTCAATGTCCTTCTCCGGTTCTAGTCCCCAAAAACCAATCAGTCTGCCAGTTCTGATTTAAAATAGGCAAGTGGAGAGTTTTGCTTAATGTTTGGCCATCATTTATAGATGGTTTACCTGGGTTTACCTATTAAAAATGGTGATTTTCCATGGCAAACTGTTAAATAACCAGAGGGTAATTCCGGGCATCTCCGAGCTTCCCCAAGATGTTTGGCCATGATAAAATGATGGGCCACCGATGACACCGACATAAACCGCCAAGGCCAGGGGCCACCCGGGTGACCCGGGTGACCCGGGTGACCCAAACCATTTCCCACACCACATTTCCCATCCACTGAGTCACTGCTTCAGACGCTGTGTCCAGTGCAGATCTCCGGGTCTGGCGACGATGACGACAATCGTCTGATATTTACTGCTGGTAGCTGATCTGCTGACAGTTTCAGTATTTATACTACCTTTTTGCTCTTTGAATCAATGGCATATTCTGAGCAGGGTTTATTTTCAAGAAATCTCTTCGTATGGAATCAGAAAGTATACTCCCTATAACAATTTGTACGATTTTTCCTACTTTGGGCACCGCATGGTTTTCCTGTTCGGTCATACCTGCGGCCCAAAAACGCCAGCATTCGCCAGCTAGGCAGCGCCGCTGGCCTCTTCTCTATCTCTGGAATCTCTGTCACGATCTCGATCTCGTGAGTCCCTCACATGCTGGTCATTTTGAGTGCGAAAATCAGGAGGATGCGCATGCAAAACTTACTGGTGCTCAGCAGGGGAATTAAATGGGGGGATGGGATGATTACTAGTGATGACTGGGATCATTCCCGAAAATTCCCGTAAAACGCACCAGTAAGAAAATCACCTGGATGAGTCGGATATAAGCCTTCAGATCATCAGCACGAATCTATGAATTCTGTGGAATCAAAAAAAATTGAACAGAATGACAAATATCCCATAGGATCCATGTATGGTATATATATACTAACATAAAGGGGGTATATTGATGGGATCCATGTTACCATATATAGCAGCACCATGGATCCTATGGGTATGAGAAAGTAGATGGTATCCCAATGTCTCGAATTAGGCCGTCGAAACACATATCTTGCAGGCAGCATGGCCTGCTGATGGAGTTTCATTTAGCTTATTTTGAACACATCCCACCCCTGTACGATATATACGTACAACTCTATGGAATCGTTGTGTTACCAAAGTCCTATACACTTTAATATCTTTAATCGGAAAACATCTCAATTTGCCGAAGGCTCTCCCAAAACACTGGATGTAAATAGTGGTTCATTCGTGATCAATCCTAAACCCAAACGCCCTGAAACATCCTTAAACTCTTAAACCCCAAATCCTAAACCCTGAACCTTAAAACCCAAGAGCGTGGAAAAGTCAAAGCAAAACTCTAAAACCTAAACATATAAACCCTAAAACCATGATTCTTAAACCTTATAAACCTAAAAGTGATGTTGGGCGAAATTGGGTGCCTGGGCGTGCTTGTTTACCCATTTTCACAGCTACTTGAGGGTCAAGGTTATTTCCTAAACTCCAAGGTTTCTCACTGAGATGTCCACAAAGGATCACTCAGTCTTTTTTTTGCACATGGTAAACTCCACCAAAGTGTGTCTGAAAATGGTATATACTCAGACTGGTAGCCATTTTGATCGGGATAATGATACTATGTAATATCATCTAATATCAATCACTGGATAGAATGAGGGCTTTTCCACAATTTCTTGGATATTTCTGATTTGGAGCTCATCAAAAAAACACACTGTATTCGCTGTGGATTCCCCAAATGGTGGATTTCCCATTCGGAAACAAAACATCTCGCCTTAAGCAAACCCAGGATTTTCGACCGAACCCAGCTGGGGCCTATCCCTATCATTGGTGTAGTTCATGAGCTGCGGAGCATCGAAGTCGTCCTGGAGTTTGAGCTGCACATCCTTCGAAATCAACATACAAAAAAGTAGTTTTTCAGATTGTATCAACGCTATCAACAGATAATACACATAATATATATATATAGTTATATTATATATATATACACATCATACAACATATTATATTATGTAATAGTATATAAGATCCATTAATATCCAATATCAACCATTATATGTGCCATGGTCCATGGTATCCCGAGGACGGTTTTCCCAAGAAGACCTGATCCCCCTCGATGAAATCCGCATCAAAGCGTGTGCCGACGCTATCCAGGGCTGGCGGCACATGGGCAATGGATACCGCGGGTGCAATTCATAGCACTGGGAAAAGGAGAATGTATCATGGTAAATTATAATATATGGTAATAATTCACTAACCTGAAATAAGGCCATTTTGGGATGATTCCCTTTATTAACCATGATTAAAAACCTATGATTTAACCCATTAAATTCGTGCGGGAACTGCGCATGTTCAGTCGGGATTTCAGTCATGGTGAATTCATTTCATGGATTTCATGGGAGATTGACGGACTCCGACTCGGCTAAAATAGCCATAACTCGATGGGGCGATGGTTGAAACTTACCCAACCTGATTATGACTAACAGTTTGCCATGGAAAGATCCACCATTTTATAGCTAGGTAAACCCAGGTAAACCATCTATAGCCATAACAAAGTCACTTAGATTGCAGGTACTTGGAAGACGTTGCAAGTGGGGTATAACATGTTATAACATCTTATAACCACACCATCCTTAAGCTTGAAGGTTACCTGCTTGGATTTTTCAATACACTTCACTGAAAAACCGGTGCCCCCATGGGACCCCTGGGTGATCTGGTTAACCCGTTAACCCCAGCCCCCGGTGGATCATTGGATCATCAACTACCATTGATCAAAATGTTTGATGATTAAAATGATCAATATGAATTCAACATGATATAAATCAGTAAAACGAATATTATATCATTCAAACGAAACATTGTAATTATTCCCATACCACTATGTTTGATGATTAAAATGATTAAGACTCATTTCAAAAAAATAAAGAAACTGTAAAAAAAGCTTACTGTAGAACACCCATGTGCTTGATTGCAAAATCCCAATGGAAAATCATCCCAAAAGTCATCACCTAATAGGGGTTTAAAAACGCAGCTACTGCTCAATTGACTCCCATAGACAAGTCCCAGGTACCCGTTACCCTGACAGCCGGACCGGGATCTGTGGTATGGAAAATTGTCCAAAGAAGGCAATATTTTTCAGTGGCCAAATTGATTTTGCTTTGTATTGGAGGCGTTCCATTTGTTCTATGGCAAACTTTCTGGTCACCTATGCATTCAATACAACCCAAAATAACAAAAACTGACCAATTTTCATAATTACACATTCTATCATGCTCTCAAGAACTTCACAAGACTCCAAAAGACTTAACTTAACCAGTCATCAAAGAATCACGCTGCAAACTCGAAAGCTTCACACTTCCAGCTGTCTCTTAAATTTCCACAACAACTTGTACCTAGTTCACCCAATGGACATCCCAGGGCTTTATTCACAGGTCAAGTGGGCAAATTCGTACAAGCTCCAGCGCTGCATGTCTTTGGGGTGTACTGTGTTCATGGCAGTTTATCACTTGGTACAAATATGTACAAACAAAAGTCTTGAGCATGGCTGCATTTTGTTTCTCCTCAAAACAACCAGTATCCCCTACTGTAAATGTTGCAACATGGCATCTGTAACCTCTATTGGAGAAAAACAACGATTTGGGCAACCAAACTATTGATCATCATCCCCTGAATTTCTCACGGATTTGGGGTTCATCCCCATTTTGGTCACACCCATTTGATGCTTGTTACATATGGTTATATAAATTCCCCAAAAAAACCTTAAACAATCTTAAACATATCACAACATATGGGTGTTTACACCTACACCACCATAGACCTATTTCAGATGGTGTTTCCATCATGTGACCCTCTGAAAATTTCTGCTATAGAAAATCACCATGTTTAAATATGTTTAATAGGTACACCATCTATAAATTTTAAATGGGCCATGTTCCATAGCTTTTTGTATGTTTACCCGATCGTTTCATCGTTGGAGTCTCACCTGACTCGGGAGCTTTGGAGCCAATATTGGCATAGCGCACCGCGCCGAAGGATTCAAAGCCTGAAACGCAAAAACCGTAACGGGGATGATGTGGGAAGATCATGTGGGAAGATCATGTGGGATTCTTGTGGATTTAAATGACTTAAGGGAATTCTCGATTTATTGAAATCTGGGATGAACACTAATTTGGATATAGAAGCTTTATGGATCGAATCAAACATAATTTGGGCCCCTTCTGACACTTTGAAACTTGTGGAAAAACATGGAAAAACATGGAAAAACATGGTTAAAAACAACACCATCTTCACTTTTTGCCGTTCTCAGTGCATCCCTTTTTGCCTCGCGAAACACCGTTTTTCGGGTTTTCACTGGTCTCCACTGGGCATCCGGAGCCGTAATTGGCAAAGATACCCTTCACGCGATCGTTCTGCGACCTCGAAGCGCGAAAAAAATCACCACCTGTTGGTTACCCTCTGGTAAATAAACAGTTGGACCCTGAAAATAGCCAAGTTTTAATGGAAACTAGTCTTCCAACACCTATTTGTGAGGGTCTATGTTAATTTACTGGAGGGTAAATCATGTTAAATCATGTTAAATGTTGAAAAAAAAGTGCCCCGTATCTATCCCATGTCCATCCATGGCTGTTTTTTTTTCATATTCTTACTGGTGCTAAAACGTAGGGAATGGATGGGACCGGATGGGTTGCTGGGGGTTGCTGGGATGATGATTGATAGTTAGCCAGTGGATCATTCCCTCAAATTCCCGACATGGATCATCCTTATTGATACCCTCTGGTATAACATACAAAAAACTATGGAACATCACCATTTCAAAAGGGAAAATCCACTATTCCTATGGTCATGTTCAATAGCTATGTCAGCCATTACCAGATGGTACTGTATATATATATACGTATATTTAGCCAACAATATGGCATATGGGTTGTGGTCATCCCATGTCATGGGAATCCGAGTTTATAAATGGTCAGCCATTACCAGAGGGTACAGTATCATAGAATTGGATGATGGGAAAATTTACAGGAAAGCCCTATATTTGATGGTAAAAACCATGGTTTCCTGTATATTTTCCCTTAAACCAATCCAATGACAGTAGTTTTTGACATCGCCATCCGAGTTCGCAGCAGCATGTTCACCGCCGCCAGCACCACCGCCAACATCCCCAAGGCGCCCAAAACGGACCAGGCACCTGCCGACGTTTTTCCGAGGACGATTTTAGGGACCGTTATGGAACTATGGTAATTCACCACCATGACTTATATACTATTACATAATTCTGTTCTATAATTATACCAATTATACCTATATATATATATATGTTTTCTGGATAAATATGAGAATGTGGGATGTCATCCCACTTTTCAAGAGTGATTAGAATATGTTTCTGAATTGAATCAATTACTAAACTAATCTAAACTCTTTCTTATAGGGATCGCTATAATGTGGTAAAACCAATAATAAACCAGCCCCAGAATAACAATCTTTATGGGTGGTAGAAACCATCCGTTTACCACATTATATGTCTTTAAAAAGTAATTCACCAACATGACTTATATACTTATACTATTCTGGACAAATTTAGTATATATAATCATATACGTAAATGCAATTTCAAATGTAATTGTAGTGATATAACCATTAATTATACAACACAATATTCGCACAATAGTAAATTTATCCAATTTATTTATGACTACTTACTAGTTCTATTTTTGCTAAAAATTGTTTTGTGTTGACAATTCACCAACCTGAAAATCCTGATTTTTTCGGTCATTTGGGGATGATTCCCCCTACGAATTATCATCCCCAGTGACCCCGCGGTGATGCCAATAGGATTGGGACATTTAGATTGGGATAGATTGGTGGTAGCATGCAAGTGGGCAATATCAACGATACATTGATGGTAGTATAAATAGATATAAATACTATAGCCAATAGAATAGGATGGTGATATGCCAGTAAGGTGAGGTAATACGGCCTACAGCCTATATATATAACATATCACCCAAAATATTGCCATATTGACGGTCTCATTCTTGGGGTTTCAACCATAGTATGATCATTACATTACAGTAACACGTCCAAAAGATTCCAAAAGCATGATGATATGCCACTAGGACTTGGCAACGAGTCCCGCAACATATTGTCATATTAGGCATAACAAACCAGCATCGCTGTAGCCTGAATCTTCTCAACATGTTCGCCAGTCTCTGCATGCTTCATTGGGGGGGCAATTTTAGTTGTACATTCATACTATATCTAGTTATATATACATAATAAGAAAGGATGATAGAAACGTATAGACACGTAATATCATCAACCACAACTTCACTCCAGCACAAATCTCCAAGAGCTGGCCGTTTGTTTTTCCCATCATCGTTATGACTCAAGGCAAGGGTAGTGGAAGAACATCGTACTCTTCTGTCACCATTGCGTTGTGATGCGTTGTGTAGCTCTAGTTCGGCCAACCTGTCAGTGGTCTATGTATGCCTATATTACTGATTTCAAGCTCACCACCAATTAAAACGCGAAGGAGAAGACTGCCACCTTGCTTGATGTAGCAAGCTTGCTTGATGTGGCAAGCCAAACCAGTAAAATTGCAGAAGCAATTGTACCCTCTGGTAAACTAACATAGCTATAGAAAATCACCATTTTTAATGGGTAAATCCACTATAAATGGTCATTTTCAATAGCTATGTTAAATTACCAGAGGGTAATGGTGCTTTCATCCTCTTCCTTAAAGAGACTCCCAAATGGTCTTCAACGACTCTTTCATTGACAGCTGTGGCACTGCGGGAGTGCGGAAAAGGCCATCAGCCATATGTTTGAAAGTCTATGTGCATGTATTCGCAAGATCAAACTTGCTGATTGTGTATGTACAGTACATACAGTACTACGTACCTTGTTTTCTCCAATGCACCTTTCGGAGGGGAATCACCAAAACAATGTGGCCTAATTATATGGGCCTATCATCTTATCGTCTAGGTGCCCTGCTAGCTGCCCGTCATGGCACCTGCTCTCAATGTATCAAACACCCTGTTCATCAATGCCGATGCTTCAACACAAGCTGGTTGGTGCTGCAACAACCATCCTGAAAAATATGAGTTCGTCAATGGGAAGGAATATCCCATATATATAGTATAATATATATATAATGGATAATAAAAAATTGTTTGAAAGCACCAACCAGTTATGATTGATAAATGCCAAAATTTGCAGAGCAAGTTGAGTTCTTTTGAGTCTTTTGAACTCTAGAACATGGCAACTGCAGGTGCAAAATGAACATCATGATGTGCATGATGAGAATCCATGCATTTGCAAATGAACAAAGAATCCGTGGGTCACACAGCTTCATAGAGTCTCTGCAACTTCAACTGCGCTTTGAGAGCCTTTCAAACCCTTCATTCCGAGAAGTTTCTTATTTTTTTTCAGCGAAATCAACCATGAGCAATCAGGAATCATTTTTCCGCCCAGTAGCTCTGTCCATTCATTTATCAGTTCATTCAGTAGCTATTGGGGATCATCATCCCATGATCTCCCATATGTTTCTGCTTGAAAAAAATGTTGAAAGATTAAGAAGATTAAGAGTCATGGGGGTACCCCCATAAATGGGGGGCATAGTACCCCGATAAAAATATGGATGGCTTCTTTTTGGGGAAAATCCTCCATAAAAACATTATGGATGATTTGGGACCCCCATTTTTAAGGAAACCTCCAGGTGTGAACAACATCCACCAACTATCTTTGGGGCCATGAGGGCTGCACCTTTGCTCATGGGCTTCGCTGGACAAGCGACGGACACCTGCCGAGACAGGGGCATGGCACCTTGGGGAGACCGAGCAGATCACTTCTGAGTAACTCGACAGGGTAAGACAAGACTTCAAGTTGCTGGGACAAGGCAAGACAGTCCAAAATGATCCAAAATGCATCTAAATGTTGAAATATGTTGAAATGCATGATGGATACAACAATTCCATACAATTCCTAAATTCTAAACACTTTGCCGACCTGTGTTATTTCATGTTTTCTGCATCATATTCTGAGTGGAGCCACGGCTGCATCACCCCTTTTCAAGCGACATCGCGACGCCTGTTGTGGTTGCCATCCACCTTCACAAGTATCGCCCACCACTTTGCGGTAGCCAGTCTGGGTTGCAGGCGGGACAATGACGATAACAACAATGAGAACAGTAATATGATCAAATATATTCATGATCGTGATGGTCATTGTTGTCAATGTCACTGACAGTGTCACTGACAGTGTCACTGACACGGCCATCCTCCTCCTCCTCCTCTTCCTCCTCGTTTGTCTTGTAATCATCATCATCATCTTCTTCTTCATCTTCATTTTCATCTTCATCATCCGCGTCGTCGTCGTCGTCGGCGGCAGCGGCACCATCATCGTCATCAAGGTAATGGCAATTTTCATACTAAAGGGAACACTGATAGCAACACTGATAACACTAAATACCTAACGTCATCGAGGGACATGAGCAAACTGATTGTAGTGGGCAGAGCCTTCACTGTGAAATTGATGCCTTTGGCTATGGATGACATCATGGATGGCATGACAAGTTGATGGCTTCGAGGCAACCCAACATGAAAACCAACCGCAAGACAGAACTGGGTTCCCATACCGCAAAGAAGTGGTCGTTTCTAGCGCAGCTCAAGGGAATCTGCAGCTTTGCGGATCCCACATGGGCTATGGATGGCTATGGTCAACTTACTCAGTCCTCATGTCACAGGAATTCGTCTGCAGAAAATGCATCATCAAATTGGGAGAGCCCATTTTAGTCCCATCTTTGAAAGATATTTCTGAGATGACTCCCCAGCTACCATCATGTTTGCTCCCCGAAAAAAATGCTTGAGATTATAACACATCATCAACCATCATTATTTACCCTCTGGTAAACTAACATAACTATGGAAAATCACCATGCTATTAATGGGTAATTCCACTATAAATCACCATGTTTAATGGGTAAATCCACTCTAAATCACCATTTTCAATAGCTATTTTGACATAACCAAAGGGTAACATCATCAACCAGCTACCAAGCACCAGGCAGCGCCCCGACCTTGATACTGCCATCGTCTGCGAAGCGGCATTCCGTTGACCCCACCTGGGAGTCACGAGCAACGGTCGCAAAAGAGAAGTTCGCCATGGGGCATGGCTGACTAAACATGTTACAACATGGTAACACCACATGTTTGAAGATTTTTTGGATTTACTTTATAACCATAGATCAATACATATATATATATCATATTATCGTGTATATATATATATATATATATCATATTATTCTATGTGATTCTTCATATAAACGAACAGTTTTGGAGGGGATCGTCGGATGACCTTTGCAAATGATCAATGGAAAACAAGCACTCTTAGAGGTGATCTTCGGAACACACCAAGTCAGTCTGACAGGTTTCTTTTTATAGATACCATATGATACCATCTGGTTATGACTAACATAGCCATGGAAAGATCCAGCATTTTTTTATAGCTAAACCATCTATTTCAATGGGCCATGGCTTAACCATGGCAAACTGTTAGTCATAACCAGAGGGTATTGACAGATCAAAGTTGAGGAGATAAACATCCAGCTGTACCAGCTGTACGTGAAGTGCTGCTTTGGGTGCCGGACTGGTCGGGTGAAGCCTACTTCGCATTCGAAGTCTTCTTGGGTACACTCGCAATTCTGGCGCGGACTGGTGCGTGATTTTCCCTACCCGTGTGGGGCTCCGTGTGGGGACCCTCGGGCGATAAAAAAGAGGCACTCCAGGTACAGTTACCCTCAAAATCACCGAATCGTGTAGGTTCAGACCATGGATGATAGTTGAACATGTAAAGTCAGATTTGGGTTTGTCTGAAGATAGGGTATATTCCCAAACAATTCTAGCCATTTAATAGGGATAATGATCAGCAAAACCATTGGGTTTAGGGGTTTAGCCTATTTTCAGACACACCCATTTGAAACCACCAGCAAACCAGGCACTACTGGGATCAATTGCCTGAGGCTTTCTGCTCCCCAAGCCCAAACAAACCCACGCGAGATTTTCAACGGATCTCCTTCACCACAGACTTCAACACATTGACATCTAAAAAGACCAATTCCAAGGGATACCCTGCGATACCCTGCGGCATTTCTTTAAAACTGCTTAGGTTATCTACGGTTATCTGCATCAAAATGGCAAATGATTGGCTTGTTGGAGTCATTGGGGACCATCCCACATATAATATGCTGATATGGATGTGGGTCAAAACCCTGTACCCCCAGTGAACCTCAAGGTTGATGGTCATCCCTTATACCACATGATTAGTAGGTTTTGACCCATACCAATATTTGAAACAACCAGAGGTTCTTAGAGAGGCTTCCACCCCCAAGATATCCATGGGTCGACCCATCTCATACGATATCTCTATAAGATGCGTATCTAAGATTGTGTGGCCACAACTTGAAACCTGAAAAAAGTAGATAAACATAATAATTAGCTAGTTATCACATAAGTGGGCATATTATATATATATATGTGTGTGTGTTATATTAATATATTATATGTATAGATATCTTAGATATCACACTAGTCAAAACCAGCAAATATGTAAAGTACGAAAAAACGTCCAACCGTTCTTTCCGGTCACCAACTTTCCCCATCTGAAAGCACATTCCGGGCACCTTCCGACTCACAGGTCGCTCAAATTTTTCCCCGTTGAAGCACTCCGAGGTTTGCTTGCGGCGAGTGTAAGTCACCTGGCGATCGATTTCACCGGAGGATTTTGGGCTTTGGAGCCACAGAATCTTCGAAAATTCAGTGGTTGATCATCACTGGTTGGTGGTTTTAACATGTTTTAACCATCTTGAAAAATACGAAAGTATATGAAAGTCAATGGGAAGGATTATCCCATATATTATGGAAAAAAACATGTTCCAAACCACCAACCAGTCATCATCTTCTCAATTTGAATGGAACACCAAGTGGCTAATCAAGTCATCGCTATTTGGAGTATACCCCGTCTGTCAACAAGCCCAGTCGGGCATCAAATGGCACCAGAAGTAGGAATGGGCATTTCAACCACCAAGGTATTGCGATGTGTTGCTTGATGCTTCTGAGACATCCAAAGGCGCAATTTTCGAACAACGACGCAATTTGTGTGTCATCAGGTGTGATATGTCTCAGATTGTGCAACATCGCGGTTGTGCCGATATTTTTTCTCCGAAGAAAGAACCCCGTTTATATATATATGGGTATGGGTCAATACCTATAGATACATTTTTAGTGGGATGAACATCCATTTACCAGCTATTTTGGGGTTCACTAGGTACCAGGGTTTTGACACACTGCCATATCTTCCCCAACTGAAAGCCAAAGTAAACAACCGAGCACCCAAGAATCAATTTCCGACCCTTCATCAGATGCAAAACCTGCTGTGTTTTCTTAGTTCGCTCGCCTGTTTGCCCATGAGGCACTTTTCCGTGTTTTTGCCATCGGATGGGCTCCACATCTCCTGAGCACGGTCAATCCATGATGAGTGGAGAGTTCAAAAAAAGAGGCAACGCCCAAAGCGATCATTTGAAAAGTGATTCACGACTACTAGTATTAGTATGTATTAGTGACTATTGTGGTATAGGATTCACTTTTCGATCTTTTTTGGAGGTTCATAGAATGACAAAGCGAGACACCAAAAGTTTTTCCCTACAAGGCACACCAGTTCGGAATCTAAGAGAAAGATGTCTAAGAGAGATGTCTAGAGTCCACTTAGCATCCATCCTTAAACCAGACAATGGCAACCAACTACAGTATCTATGTATCTCTAGATGTTTTTTCCATGGTTTTCTCCGAGTTTCACTGGCTGCAACAAGCATAGCAGAGCCCAATTTCATCCAAGAGACATAGTCCGAGGACACCGAATCAGCTGCCCACACTCCCTGGCACCACCGGTGAAGCTGGAGAAATATCGATGTTCCCATCTGGTGGACCGGTCCTTCTGGTGATCTCGTTTAAGGTCATTATTACTATAGCATTACTATTATTAATCATAATCAACCATAGTAATCAACCATTGTAATCAACCATAGTAATCAACCATAGTAAATATTAGTTATGCTGACCAGCTAGAGAGAGAGGCGGGGATTCAACACGTGCATGCTGCATAGTGTTCAAATGTGTTCAACGTGCATGAAGCAGCGTGAAACTGTGAAACGCGATGCGTTGTTTTCATGATATGTTGCGAAATTGGAGATGCATTTTGTGATCTCCGATATCCTGCAAACTAAGTTATTTCTTAGCAGGAGTGATCACAAATTTGCATGTTTAAAGAAACAAACTGGTCACCTACCCAACTCACCTGTTGGGAAACGCGCCAGCGGAGTCATCTCAAGTTGGGGTAAGATCTGCTCAGATCTCAAAACGATCAACCAAGATACAAGATGGTCTTTGTAGCAAGCGATAGAAACGTAGGACAAATAATGGTATACCATATAGAAATAAATTACAAATATATACTGTTCTGTTCTATCATGTTCTATATATTTGGACGATCCAAACAAACCGTTTCATTTCCAGTGGGATCCTTTCAGCCACGAAACAGCGACTCGGGAATCAGAAAAAATCCGGCCTTGCACAGGGCTTGCCCCAGGCTCTCAAAATCTAGGTGGTACATCACTCCCTTGGCGCTGAGGACTGGGAATACTGGGAGAATCTCAGGATATCCCAGCTTTGGAATCAAAATCCGGAAATGGACACATGATGAAACATGATGAAACATGTATCCCATGTTTCAACATGGTACCATAGGACCATAGGTCTTCGAGCCATGCCCAGATCAATCCAAATCAACACTTAGCATTCCCCTCAACCGGTCAGGCCCTTTTCAGCGAAGAACATGTGTTTTCAGGTGCAAGAAGTGAAGCCAATCACTAGACTTCCAAGACTTTTTTGATGTTTTTTGAGGTGATTCTGGATGATTTAGGAAGTTTTTGGGCCACATTTCAAGCAGATGACAACCTTGAAGGACGATTGGATCGGCCAGTTTGGAGAAAGACATTAGCGCTTTACGCGATGACATAACAGTGCTTCAACTAAGACGTGTGACCAGAATTGGGCAAATCTTGATTCCATTTCATTTCTACATGTTTCATTCAACTCTCCAATTCTTACCATTTTGTTTGCAACAAATTTTCTGCAACCTTCATCACTCAAAAACGGTTCACATAACCCGGGGTGGTTTTGGCACCATATCTCCGCAGCAAGGCACCGTATCTCCTCTGGTCCCATAGAGGAGGAACTTGGTGGAGGTGGCGTTGGGCTCCGTCACGATGTTGTCCACCTGCCGGCACTGGCGGCATCCGAAAAGGCCGTGGGATTCATGGCCCCGCCGCAACGTTTGAGGGGGGACTGGGCATGGAGAGATATGAAGATAGGATGGACATATTTCTATATTATATAATATATATATATTATAATTTACATACATATTATATATTTTTTCTGCAACATCACCATGTGAATCCATGTGATGGTGGAGTTTCTTAGTGCTTCAGGTATGTTCAACGTGCACCCTTCTCGTGCCATATACGTCGAGAGAATCCAGATATCAGATATTCGCACCTCAACTGGCATCGACGAGAGTTCGAAGTCGTACCAACTTTGTCCCTCATTCCAGGAGAAAACCACCTCAGGTCCCAGGTGTGGATCAGTGATGATAGCATGACGATCTAGCTATGTCTAGCTTCATCTGGATATATCATGATATGGCAGTGTCTCAAAACCCTGGTACCCCTGGTGAACATCAAAATAGCTGGGATTTATGGATGTTCATTCCCCTAAAAATGGTATTTTCATAGGTATTGATCCATAGCCATATATCTGGATGACGTTGGTGCATGGCAGATCCTGGCGGAATTGATTCACTGGCATTGTTTCCAATGATCTAGGAATCTAGGAAACAATTCGAGCCAGAAATCGGGACCAGACCTGTGATTCTTCAAAGAATTCCTGGATATTGAAGTGTCAGGAACGCTTTGAAACTGAACTGAACATAAATAACCACTGTAAATCCTGGATATGTAAATCCTGGATATGCCTTTAATCTGGATATAGATAGCAAATTCTTCAAAGAAAACACTGTAAATCCTGGATATGTGTCGTCTTTGATCTGGTTTGCCTTTGCTGTTTCAAATCTCTTCACAAATATCAGTCCGAGATCCTTTGTTCTCATTGTTGGGATCAAAGAACATAATCAACCACAAATCAGGTATACACATGTCATGTGTATATATATATATATCAACATATTGTATAGGTTTGTGTATCATATATATATATAATCATATATAGATACACACATACATCTGCAATCATATTCTATCGTATTACATCGTTGTATATCATCAACACTTAAACTTATTGGCATCAGCAACCTGCGGCTTCCGCTTCAAGCTGGCTTCGCCTTTGGCTCCGCACCAACTTGGTCTTCCTCACATCGTCAGCCATGACGACCAGGCCACCATGATCGCCGTATTCGTAGATGAAGGCGCCTTTTGGAGACGATTTCTGGGATATGGATGAAATGGAGGTTTCCTCTACGGCTACCCCCAGTCATCATCCATTTAAGCCTTTCCACAAACCTTCCATGTTGGGTTGCCCCCCATTTTAGGACACCTCGAAATCTGATTTAAGTCAATTTAATGGTCAATGTATGCCAATTTAACATGTTCTGCATCTGTCTGGGAGTTACTCTGCGTACGATAGCTATCAGATTCTCTTATGCGATGTACACAGGTGTACATGGACGTGTTCATAGCTGCAGTATGCTACAGCTAGTATAGATTGAGATGAATAAGAATATCATAGCCTGTAATTATATAAGTTATATATGGCTAGATTCGATGTCCAATGATACGGACACATTGCACGAGGTTTCCTCCTTCGTTTTTTTTTGGGGGCATTAGTCCATAAAGCTCCACAGGGTCTCCAAAAAGGAAAAATCTCGTGACAATTGGGTGGAACTGCCTAGTGAAAATAATACGTATACTTATTTACTTGGAGACAAACATATCTGGTTGGTGGTTTCATTCCCTCTGAAAAATATGAGTTCGTCACTTGGGATGATTATTCCATTCCCAACTGAATGGAAAGTCATAAAATTCCATGGTTCCAAAGCACCAACCAGATATACAAACATGATCAAACATGCCAATCAATCTCCGGGGAACTGGCTGATCCAGCCCTATTAGATTCCCATGGATCGGTGGTGGAGATTCTCCACTGGGATCATTGGGGTAGAATAAGCCCATATAATTAGCCTCTGGTAATGGCTGACATAGCTATTGAAAATGGCCATTTATAGTGAGTTTTCCCATCAAAAATGGTGATTTTCCATAGTTATGTGACAGTTTACCAGAGGGTAGCCCATATCATACCCGATGAACATTCGGAGTTTGGTCATCAGCCGCTGCCATTCGGCCACAGCTCGAGCCTTTATGTGCTTCCATCCAGGTCAAACCACCATTTCGAGAGATGTAGGTATTGGTCTTGCGGCGAGCAACTGGGACGAAATGTTTGGGAGATCCTATGTAGCACAGAGAGATGGCTATTTTGATCTGTTATGATGTATTCTTGGACCACGAGGACGCGAGAATGGCTAAGTCAGTTTAGGCATGTTGCAAGATTCCTGAAGTTCCTCTCTCAACCTCACCTTCTAATACCTTTTGGGGATATGAAACACTACTTAGCCACTAAACTCACTAAACAATCATCAGAATCACCTAACAGTGAGAAGCAACAAGAAAACCATGGTGTTTGCACATTTTTGACATCCTTTGACCATGGTTTTCACCGCCCCAAATGTTGGGAATCCATGGATGGGAACCCGCGCCTGGTCAGGCTCAAAGCGCAGCGATGGCCCCACATTGCCAGTGCCTCAGTGCTGCACTTCGGCCACAAAATTGGACGAAAAATGTTACAAAATTGGTATATGAATGTAGAGTGGATGTGCAACACGGCTCGCGAAATCGAAGCAGCCACTCTGCCACTCTGCCAGAGTGGCTGACGCAGCCACTCAGCCACTCAGCCACTCTGAGTGACTGAGTGGCTGAGTGGCTGCTCCAGCCACTCTGGCAGAGCGGCTGAGTGGCTGAGTGGCTGGGGTGAAAATTTCCGCCATTGCGCGCTCAATCTGAATGTATGTGATATAGTTGTAAAGTTACCCCCAGGCCGGGGCTACCGCCCAGATGTTTATCATGTCACCAACTCTTTAGGGTTTGTTTAAGTGTGTTCGGGGTTTGTTTAGGGTTTATCTAGGTTTCATTTCAGTTTTTTCCCACAGTTTTGTTGAGATTTTACTTTCAAGGCTTACCTAGGGTTTCATGTCAGATTCAGGCTTTAGGGTTAGTATCTAGATGTATCTAGGGTTAGTATCGCTAAGGGTTTTTTGGAAACGAATCTCGTCAGCCATTCGGCCATCTCCGCCGACATCCCCAAAATGCACTTCCCGGGGCAGCACCCCCATCCTAGCCGCTCTTAGCATATTATTGGGACAGGGGATCTCTGTAAGCTAGTCAGCTAGTCACTGGGTTGATTTAAGTGAACATATACAAGAAACTCTGATATTTGACGGGAAAACCATGGTGTCCGGCTTCGATTTTCGCTCAACCAATCTTTCGTGATATCAGTCCCGAGGTTCTGCTAGGCCCTGTGCCCATGATGATTCCAATGGCATTCTCCGTGGAATAGAAGGGCCTCGCCCATTCGGCGTGGTCACATCATGTCGCATCATCACATCATCAGACCGATGGAATTTTCATGGAAAATCACGGTTGGACCATGGCTGGTGTTCCTGGGCATTCCCATCATGACAATCCCCAATCATCCAAAAAAATCATCCCCAATCTATTCTTGAAGAGTACAGTACAGTTCAATAACCCCAACTGAAAATAAAACATAGGCTGATTACGAATTCCAGTTGGTTGATTACGTATTTGTAGGCTATTTAAGTCAGGGTAGTAGAATCCCTAAGAACGCCGTCACCCGAATCATCTGGTGGATATTCCTGAGGCCCTGAACGCATAGTTGTGGAAGTTGGTGATTCCATGTCTGGCGGTGGATGAGCAAAAAATCAAACGAACTCAAGATGCTTTTTCTTTTACCATCTGGTTATGACTAACATAGCCATGGAAAATCCCTTATAAATGGAGGTTTTAATGGGAAAATCATCTATAAAGGGGCCATTTTCCATGGCTATGTTAGTCATAACCAGAGGGTAACCAATAGCATTTACTGCAGGTCTTGGAATCTCCGATGTTTCCACCACCGTCCAACTCAGGCCATGCCTTCTTGGAAACCGGAAGAATTGCCATTTGCTAACCACTTTGATGCTCCAGTTACTGTAGCCGTTTAGTTAACTCATGGATAAGCCATTCCTCTGAGTTAACTGGCTACCATGGTAGAGTTATCCACAAAAACGATGCCGCGGACCCGAAAACCAGTGAAACTCCGCCAGCGTGGCAAATGAAGCCAGCACTTATCGGGAGGACATTCAATCTGTTTCCCTGTGGAATCCACCCGGGGCGGTTTGAGATATGACCTGAGCGGTGACTCCGAGGACTCTTCATCTCAGGTCTTACACGCAATACAGTACTCTCTGGTAAACATACAAAAAACTATGGAAAATCACCATTTATAGTGCGTTTTTCCCAGGAAAAATGGTGATGTTCCATAGTTTTTTGTATGTTTACCAGAGGGTACAATGAAAGGTCCATACACCAACCTGCTTCGCCCATCAGAAACTCGTGGAAGCTATGGCCATGGGTTAAACCCCTGGTATTGTTGGCCCTCCCTAGTGAACATCAACAAAGAGCTGCTAAATTCATGTTCATCTCCCAAAGAATATCCAAGAATTGGATATCATAGTGTTTGGTTGACTCATCCCTATATCATCCCGGAAATCAAATCCAAATCTGGAGTCATAGGTTGAAAACCCATCCGCATATCATATTCAAGTGTTGCTTCCCTTTATTCCCAGTAAGTGGACTATCTTTCCACCCTTCAGGTGGAAAGCCCAATGCCATAACCTCCAATTGTGGATGGTTTCAATCCCACCCATTCCTAGTGAGTGGGGCTGGTTTATGGCCATTCGTTATAATTTATTCAGATTATCCCAATATATTCCAATGATAATATAATGATATATAATGATATAGATTTCCACCAAACCACCATTTTGTTGGCTAAATCCAGGTGATTCATGGTTGATCATGGTTGTATCATCATGATTCCATTTGTCCCAGTGAAATCCCCATGGAAATCCACCGTATTTTTTCGTTGCCAAAAAAAAACGGGACCCGGTCGTCGAAAAACGTCTCGAGGTCCTGACCAAGCACCACCCTTGTCGAAGGAGATGACCGTCCGAACCTGGTTTCAATGGGAATTTCAGGATCCTGAAATGGAGGTACGTTAGTACCATATAAGGCCATATTTTGTGGGGATATTCCCTTACATAGGCCTTATATAGGCCTTATATATGGTAGGTACCTCCAATTTAGGTTCCTGAAATGGCCATTGATGGTTTGTCTGAAAACAGGGTACCCTCTGGCAAACATACAAAAAACTATGGAAAATCACCATTTTTAATGGGTAAATCTCAACTATTTCGACTGGGCCATTCTCAATAGCTATGCAGCTATGTTAAATTACCGGAGGGTACTCCCAAATCTCCTCTGGTTGGTGGTTTCAACCAACCCCTCTGAAAAATGATGGAGTTCGTCAGTTGGGATTATTGTTCCCAATATATGGAAAAATAAAAATCATGTTCCAAACCACCAATCAGTCCTGGTTCTTATTGATTATCATTTTCCATAGTTCCTCGACTATGCTACTAATTTAGTTTTTTTCTCTCGTGCTAAATTGGTAGTAGTCCCCTTCATCTTGATATATTTGGGGAGAGAACTTGCAGGGTCTTTGACGCTTCCCTGGGCTCATGTCTTTTTTGTTTCTTACCCGTCTTACCCTTCATTCTTTTGTTTCTCATGTTCGTTCATCGTGATGATGACCTTGGTGCTGATTTACATCTTCTGCATCTCTGATACCTGATCTTTCATGGTTTGTTGAAGAGGAAAGTGAGGTATAGTGAGGTTTAAAAAAGAAGAACGCCATCCCCAAAATGATCAACCTCTTATATATATATAATATATATATATATTATTATTATTTGCACTAGAAATGATGGTCTGGGAAGCTCAGGTGTCCCCTCCAGTTTAAGGAACCCTCCACCCAACACAAATAATAAAGCCCATCTCAGCCCCATGGGTTTGTTGTTTCTTATTGCCGTGTTCCTTTCTCTTTTCCTTTCCTTGTCATTCTGCTTTTATGGTATTTTCCCTCCTCTCTTCCTTTTCCTTTCTCTTTTCATTCAGCTTTTGTGTTCTCCTTTTCTTTGTCCTTGACCTTTATCGTTTGATTACGATCTTCAATTGTCACTTTCCTCGTCCTTTTATCCTTTTGCGTTGTCCGTTGCTTTCTCTTTTCTCTTCCTTTTTCTGTTCATTCTGTCTTTTGGCCTTTTCCTTTTCCTTTCTCTTTTCCTTTTCCGTTGTTTGTTCATTCTACTTGTTTATTGTCGTTTTCCTTGTCCTTTCCTCCTTTCTCTTCTACTTGTCGTTCTTCTTTCTCGTTCTTTGTTTTCATAGTTCCATTTGTTTTCTCTGTCCTTTTTTCTGCTGATTATTCTTAATGTATCTTTCTTGACCTCTTCTTTCCTCTTCCCTTGTTTTCCATTGTGGGATGCTAAAAAACAACTATAGTTGACTCCTCGTGATTGCTAATATGCAGCTAATGTATATGAACAACATTGAACATTCATGGTGCTCCCATGCACCTAATTCCAGCAACATTAATTCCTCATCAATGATTGGAGGTGTACTAATTTGGGGTAGTTCAGAACATGCCTCCAAAAATCCAAAAATTGCCTTGTTGGTTCTTAGCCCAGAGTAGCCACTATTGATGAATGTTCGAATAGTGTATGTTGAAGAAAACAGGAACACATCAGCTTTGGCGGTCACTATGGTCACTACACTACCCATGATACTTCGGGCATTTCCCACGTGGATCCCAGAGATACTCTCGCTGGAAATTCCCGAGGCAATGCTGGAAGGCTTTGGATCCAAAACAAAATAAGTTGCCACTAGTCAAGACACATCCCAAAGGCAATGTTACTCAATGTACTGTATGTTCGTCCTGTCAGTTCCTTTGCTGAGTCACAGGTTCCATCCATGTCTTCCTATTCTGCTTTGATCATGTATTGTTTGCGTGTCCTAGGAGCGGTTCAAGATTCTCCACGATACTTTAGTCTTGAACTTCGTGCTCTTCCCCATCTGCTAGGTTAAGTCAAATGCTAGGTATGGGTCAAAACCGACCCCGCAAACCACATGTGTTGGTCCTCTTTCGTAGCAACCAAAGTCAATGACTTGACCCAAAACCATATGCCGGGAGAAGGTATAGTATAATATACACCCTAGGAAAAAAACGGTGGGTCAGTGGAAAAACCCGAGGTTTCTGGCAGAAACCCGAGGTTTTCCAAACCAGTACTAAAATACGGGGTTCGTACAGGTAAAATACGGGGGTAATACGGGTTAAATACGGGTTCAGTACGGGTTTGAAAAAGAAAAACCGAGGTTTGCGTAAGAAACCCGAGGTATTTTCATTTCGTCAAACTCAAACATACCCGAGGTTTCTAGTCAGATCCTACAAATTTCCAGGGTCTGGGTTCGAAGGGTGTTACCAATTATGTAATATATTCATTAAATTATATCTATATATATTTTCCAATTCATGGTTTCAAAATCACCCACGCCCTTACCCATACCAAAGGTCAACTTTGATTTCCTTCATTTATTTATCTGTGGCTCAAACATATCAATTAATTAACTAAAATTCACCTGGAAATGATTGTCTGCAACTGGGATTACCCTCAATTGAATAATGTTGGCTGCCTAATAGTAATTACCCCCCCTATTTTTTTGGGGGGGGTCAACCTTCCTATAATAATTTTTGGGAATCTATAGCTGGGATCATGATATGTATCTGATAGATTCTCCATGGTTTTGTTGGGTTTCTGTTAGATTCTGCATAGGGTTTGGTTGGATTTCTGAGATGTTCTGCATGGTTTTTGGAACCTTAAAGCTGGGATCATGGAAGTGGGGGCAGAGGTGGTGGAGGCGAAGGAGAAGGACAAGGAGGAGGAGGAGAAGAAGGAGAAGGAGAATGAGAAGGAGAAGGAGAAGGAGGACAACAAAATTGGAGTTGCGGAAAAAAGTTTCCACTATTGCCATGCCTGGTGCAGGTTTGTTATTGCTGTTCTGGGGCTTGCAAAGGGGGTACCCTTTGTGGACCTGTTTTCTTGCTTTTTTTAATAAGGGTTTTATAAGGAAATCAGCTGTTTGGTAATTGGATCAGATTTCTGGAATCTAAGCTTTTGCTAATCAAAAGTGAAGGCTGCTTTGAAAAGGATTCGCTTTACTTGACTCTTTTGGCAATACTAAAAGTAAATGGAGCTAATTGACTTTTAGTATTGGAGAAAAAATTGGAGTTGGGAAAAAAGTTTCCACTATTGCCATGTTGTGTCCACTATTGGCCATGCCCTCTGGACAAGGTCTGAACATGACTCTTTTGGCAATACTAAAAGTAAATGGAGCTAATTGACTTTTAGTATTGGAGAAAAATTGGAGTTGCGGAAAAATGTTTCTACTATTGACAAGATATCACTATTGGCTAGACAACATTAATAGGGATACTGAGGTGATAGTCCATGTTTCAACAAAATTAGTCAAAATTGGTATAGTCATCCCCAAAAAGATAGAAAGTAAATCTGTCTACTAAAGTTGATGACGATTTACTGTTCTATCTTGTTGCGGGGTTTACTCCTCAAACATCGCAACCAAACCCACCGATTTGTTCCAGCCCCGGGCCGTCTTTCTGGGCCGTCCGAACGACACTCTCCTCTTTGGCTTTGGACTTGGGGGCTCTGCGCTTGTCAACCTCGAGGGGAGTCTGTTCGGCCGGAAGTGGAGTGGTGCCATGGTAGCTCTGTAGGAATGGTGGGTATACAAGTGGGTATCATGGTAATATTGGAGATATAACGGGATGTAAATGGGGATATAATGGGGATGATAGAAGAAACAACATCGAGAGGAGGATGTTTCATAGAAACAACAGACCGAGGAATGCAAATTCGGAAAATTGAGGCAACAGAAACTGGGATTGCCTTCATATAACCCATATACATGGTATATAACCCATATATATATATAACTCATATATATATAATGGTTATATACAGATTATATATTGAGGCATCAATCATGTTTGTCTTCATCGCATTGATGATTGGATGCGTGAAAACAAAAACCAATGCATGTTTCTTTCCTCTCGCGTCCTGACCCTTGAGAAAAAACTGACAGATCTGACAGTATCATTGGTTCCAAAACGATGAAACGGAATGGAGATCCATTGCTTAGCAATTATGTTAACATTCACTACATGCAATCGATGGCTAGCCGCTAGCCGTAGGGAACGAAGTCCCTTGGCCTAAACAACAGCTGTCTCCCATAAATAATTAACCTTGGCACTTGAGGTTAAAACAACTAGCATTTTCCCCATAAGATTGCCATAAATTGGGGATACAATCCGGGATATACATGATTTTCAGACGCACCCAAGAATCATAGTGATAGTTACACTTAATTACAGCAATCATATCCCCATGAAAATCCATATGAAATATGTCCCCATCATCTCCCAATGCTACGAGGTTCATTAAACCAGCTGTTGGAGGGCGAAGTCCCAGCCGTTCCGCCCCCCGTTTCGCACCTCCGTTCCGCTCTTGGTCTCTTCCTCCAAGGCCTGGCTTTCCTCAGCGGCTTCCTGCAGCAAGAACAGAATAGTAACCTATGAGTCACTATCATATACTATCATCAAATATCAGTTACCAGATTCTTTCATCAAATGTTTGAATCTATCAGTATTCTATCATCAAATATCAGTAACTGCCAGTCGCCGATCTTGCTGGAGTCGGAGTCGCCGACGGAAGAAACAAAAACTATCAAAAACTAACTGAAGGAATGGATACTTCATGGTACTAACCATTAATCTGAATACCCTCTGGTAAACTAACATAACAATGGAAAATCATTTTTTTTAGTGGGTAAATCAACTATAAATGGCCATGTTCAATAGCTATGTTAAATTACCAGAGGGTAATTCTATCATAATAATTCACTAACCTGAAAAAACCAACGATCGGGATAATTCCCCGAATCCTAAGCATTCCATGCTTTGGTCGCAGTGAGGTCGTCATAATTTGCCCAGATTTTTTATATCTGGAACTTATGAGTAACTATCCGGATTCAGCTATACCAACTAAGATGATTCAACTATCATCAAGTATCGAGACTTCAGGCTGATTCCCCGAAGTCTAAGCAGCCCTTCGCAATCATCACATTTACACAGACTCGCGATTTTTTCCAGGCTCCAGATGTTTTGTCGAAATGCCACAGTTTTTCAGCATGGAATTTGATTTCGGCAGGCCATCATGCCATCCTCCAGCAAATCAGGCCATGTCATCCCCAGTTGTGCACCTTGGTTTTGTCATCGACCCCTCCGCTGGTGTCGCTACTCTTGGTCTCCTGTGGGCATGGCCGTTTTCCGAGGGGTCGAAACTGGGGAACCGAAAAGCGTGGCGAAACAACCGAGTTGTTCTACTTTCCATGGGATATAGTGGGATGTAGTGGACATGAATGAACCCTAATAATGAATAATATTGAATAATCGATAACAACCTATAACAAACTATATCAAACTAATAGATTCTTTAATAGATAATTAGGATATATTAGGATATATAGTGGGATTGACATGATCATCATCCTGATAATAGCAGTGCTCATGACACTTCACCACTGAAATGCTTCCCCCCAATGACTTTGCCCTGATTTCCCCCAGAGGATACCAACGATTCTCCCCACACCTTTCCCCCAAATGTTACCTGTGATGTCACAAAAAAAATCTGAGGTCAGTAGAGCTATCCTCCAGATTTAGGAAAAACAAGTTATATATCTACAAACATCCAGGATTTCCTCCATGATACCTCCATTGAAATCCAATGATTGGTCGTCCTTGAAGTTGGCCATATAGACTCCCTCAAGGCTTAAGACCTGGCGATCGCGAAGAAATCCCGGGAATTTTACACGTTTAATTGGTTGATTTAAGAGAAATTTCAGAGGAATGTCCAGTAAAAGAACTGTTTAAATGAATTGTTGGTCTATCTTTCTGGCTTGGTTACGAGGGAACATCTAAGTCTAGAAACTGACTGGTTTTTGCAAGATCAAATATGGTGCCTTCCTACAGATGTTCCCCCCTTCATTGTCCAGTGCTGGGGTATAGGAAATGACAAATTTATCAAGATTTAGTTTCTATGACAATCCTAGCTCATCAATGCCATCAATATTGGTATCAACCAATTGATGATATGCAAGATACGTTTTTTTTTGCGATGATGTTGAATATTGCTTTGTGATCATCACGAACGTGATTCACATGAGATTGATGATGGATACTACAAGATTCTGAGATTTTTGATAAGGTACCCTCTGGTAATTTAACATAACTATGGAAAATCACCATTTTTCATGGGAAAATTCACTATAAATGGGCTATTTTCAATAGCTATGTCAGCCATTACCAGAGGGTAGTTATGGGCTATGGAAAAGCCATGAAAAAACGCCGGTATAACGCCGGTTTAACCTGGGTCAAACTTGAAGACCCTCAGGTTTACCACACCATAGCTCTGAGCGTTTCAAACGCATCAACCATAGCAGGCCCTGGGGGTATCCAGTTTTTTTCCCACCACCAGGTGCAAAACAGGATGTTATTGATGAATATTGATGATCTGCTCACATCTTTTCCGAAAATTTGACCTCAGAAAATGTTCATTAATCTTATTTAATTTTCCAGATTGTTCAAATGTTTTATGGAAGCCTCACATGTTTCTTTCGGGTGCCTATGTGGCTGCGGCCAATCACAATGGCGCATGCGCATAGGGGTCAAGTCATGTTTTGTTGTAGTCAATCAAGGTTGCTTTGCTTAAATCTTGATTTTTTTGTATCACTTTGTGCCGGTGAAATTTGGCTGAATCCCCATTGTTGTTGGTTTATATGTGGCACAGCCAATTAAAAACATGACCAGAAAGTCGGATAGTCCAATTGGGTCAAAAACGGGCCTCCATGGGCCATCCCAATTTCCGGGCCTTGTCAAATTCACAGTCGCCGTTGGTACCCCGCACGTTGTTGGGGAGCGAGAGAGTAAATCTATAACCTCAGCTCCCAGATGCTTCCAAGGCATCCAAGGCATCCAAGGTCTATGCCATGGGTCGACTTCAACTTCTCCCATGACTTTGGTAAACCCCCATTGTCTGGTACCCTCTGGTAATTTAACATAGCTATTGAAAATGGCCATTTATAGTGAGTTTTCCCATTAAAAATGGTGATTTTCCATAGCCATGTTAATTTACCAGAGGGTATCCGCCAACCAAAAAAAGGGTGGAGCCAAGAGTTCTGACTGGAGCGACACCATCATTGGATTGAAGGGAAAGTGTGCATGGAGCCATGCTTCTGAATAAACATCTTGGGCTGTTCTATGGGTTCCTATAAATCTTCTTCCCTTCAGCAAGAATGGACAATGGAATCCATGAAAAATCCACACATTTTTTGGACCTACAGTAACAACCTATCATGGTTGACGATGCCAGCAATTCTAGTGAGAAATCAGCTATCGGAGTCTGAGTCCAAGATTCCCCTTTGATTTGATGGCCAAAATCTACTTCAGGAAATCAACAGCTCTGGGTCAGTTGTTGGCCCCGCAGTGGACCCCACCAAATTCTGACGGGCTGTTTCAACCTGCCTGAAAAACATGCGAGTCCATGCGAGTCATGACTTAGGATACTTGCCTTCACCATGACCCCCCCAGCAACCCCCAGCCTTTGTCATCAGAGATGTAGACGTTGCCGACTTGTGCCTGTCCAGATTGGTGATTGGTCATTTTCATGGGGAGGCCAGTGATGAAAAGGGGTCCATTGTTTCAGGAAACCGCCAATAGGCAAGTAAGATGATGGGTAAATCAACTAGTGATCAAGGGATTTCAGTGCGCAATCACCATCCACAAGAGAGGATCACTTCTCCTAGGCCCTTGACTCTTGGCTCATATCCTAGTCATAATCTGAGTTCATTTGATTTGCCTGCCCCACTGAGTAAAAGGAGGCACCTGACACCTGCAGAACATGAACTGTTGACATCTGTTGACTCTATAAATGCATAGAAATCCCACGTACATCCACCTAGTATCCATTCAGAACATCCATTCAGAACATCTCAATCTTTCCAGTTATCCAGTTTCTATGGTCTCAATTCATCTCAATTCCCTTTGTCTCACTTCAAAAAAAACACAGCTTTCCTCAAAAATTCCTCCGGAAATGGTCTCCCTGCTGGCTGCCTCTTTCGCCCCATGATTCACATGGAGCATCACTAAGCCCTCAGAGGTGTCCAGCACCGTATAGGACTTTTCGTCGATTTCCGTGGGCAGCTGGCGGTGCCAGAGACCCAGATGACAAAAGGCTGGAGAAAGCAGGGAAAACCTCAAATTCCTCAGATTTTCAAATCAAAATAGCTGGGAGTCAGGATTGTCGTGAATAAACACCCCAATTCATATAAAAATATGATATTTAGAAACATATTGGTCCAATAATTTACCATAAGTATATATATATATACATATTTAGCTGTTGAAATGTGTTGAACTATCGATCCCCATGTGGTCATGACTCCTACTGGTATCCTCGTGTTCAATAAGTTCAATCCTGCTGAAATCCTCGAAATGTTCATCCCATTCAGTGAGGGCCAAGGACCAGCCCCAAAAATGACTGGTTGGTGGTATACCTACCCAAATGATGGGAAAATGATGGGACAATGACTGGTTGCTGGTTGACCTACCCCTCTGAAAAATATGAGTTCGTCGGTTGGGATGATGATATATTCCCATATGTATATATATATATGGACCAATGAAATTCATGTTCCAAACCACCAACCAGATGAGGTCAACCATCTTCCAATGATTTGGGAAATCTTCCACAGTCAGTTGACATCATCATACCCCTGCCCTTGGCCAGTCTCGGGTGTCTGGGATATCACCTTTCGCGAAAACAGACAGACTCCCCATTCACATAACATGGAGAAATCTGGATCCATCGACAAATCTATCACTTTTTTGGTGGGTTTTCCCATTAACTGCTGGACCCACCATCTGAACCGCTGCGGACCGACCTGTGCAGCATTGAAGGTTCGCCCACCATCTGCACTCACCATGAGCATCACCGTCTGTGCTGCCACATCTTTCACCTTGAAGCACTGACGATCATGGGGCCAAACATGGCCAAGGTACTTCGCAAACTTGGCTGATAAATGTTGATGAATGTTGATGAAGGTTGATGAAGGTTGATGAAAGTTGATGAAGGTTGTTTAACGTTGATAAATGTTGATGAAGGTTGATGAAGATTGATGAAGGTTGATGAAGGTTGTTTAACGTTGATAAATGTTGATGAAGGTTGATGAAGGTTGATGAAGGTTGTTTAAGGTTGATGAATGTTGATGAAGGTTGATGAAGGTTGATGAATGTTGATAAATGTTGATGAAGGTTGTTTAAGGTTGATGAATGTTGATGAAGGTTGATGAATGTTGATAAAGGTTGATGAAGGTTGATGAAGGTTGATGAAGGTTGTTTAAGGTTGATGCATGTTGATGAAGGTTGATGAATGTTGATAAATGTTGATGAAGGTTGATGAAGGTTGATGAAGGTTGTTTAAGGTTGATGAATGTTGATGAAGGTTGATGAATGTTGATAAGTGTTGATGAAGGTTGATGAAGGTTGATGAAGGTTGTTTAAGGTTGATGAATGTTGATGAAGGTTGATGAATGTTGATAAATGTTGATGAAAGTTGATGAAGGTTGTTTAACGTTGATAAATGTTGATGAAGGTTGATGAATGTTGATAAATGTTGATGAAGGTTGATGAAGGTTGGTGAAGGTTGTTTAAGGTTGATGAATGTTGATGAAGGTTGATGAATGTTGATAAATGTTGATGAAGGTTGATGAAGGCTGTTTAAGGCTGATGAATGTTGATGAAGGTTGATTAATGTTGATGAAGGTTGATGAAAGTTGGTGAAGGTTGATGAAGGTTGATGAATGTTGATAAGTGTTGATGAAGGTTGATGAAGGTTGATGAAGGTTGTTTAAGGTTGATGAAGGTTGATGAAGGTTGTTTAAGGTTGATGAATGTTGATACATGTTGATGAAGGTTAATGAAGGTTGTTTAAGGTAGATGAATGTTGATGAAGGTTGATGAAGGTTGTTTAAGGTTGATGAATGTTGATGAAGGTTGATGAATGTTGATGAAGGTTGATGAAGGTTGATGAATGTTGATAAATGTTGATAAAGGTTGATGAAGGTTGACGCAGGTTGTTTAAGGTTGATGAATGTTGATGAAGGTTGGTGAATGTTGATGAAGGTTAATGAATGTTGATAAATGTTGATGAAGGTTGATGAAGGTTGATGAAGGTTGTTTAAGGTTGATGAATGTTGATGAAGGTTGATGAATGTTGATGAAGGTTCATGAATGTTGATGAATGTTGTTGCATGTTGATAAGTGTTGTTGCATGTTGATAAGTGTTGTTGAATGTTGATGAAGGTTGATGAAGGTTGATAAATGTTGTTTAATGTTGATAAATGTTGATAGATGTTGATAAATGTTGATGAATGCTGATGAAGGTTGATGAATGTTGATACATGTTGATGAATGTTGATGAATGTTGATGAAGGCTGATGAAGGTTGATGAAGGTTGATGACTGTTGGTGAATGTTGATGAAGGTTGATGAATGTTGATGAATGCTGGTGAAGATTGATGAATGTTGATAAATGTTGATGAATGTTGATGAAGGTTGATGAATGTTGATGAATGTTGATGAAGGTTGATGAAGGTTGTTTAAGGTTGATGAATGTTGATGAAGGTTGATAAATGTCGATGAAGGTTGATGAATGTTGATAAATGTTGATGAAGGTTGATGAAGGTTGATGAATGTTGATGAAGGTTGATGAGGGTTGATGAATGTTGATGAATGTTGATACATGTTGATGAAGGTTGATGAAGGTTGATGAAGGTTGTTTAATAAATTTAAGGTTGATGAATGTTGATGAATGCTGATGAAGTTTGACGAAGGTTGTTTAAGGTTGATGAATGTTGATGAAGGTTGATGAATGTTGATGAAGGTTGGTGAATGTTGATGAAGGTTGATAAATGTTGATGAAGGTTGATGAATGTTGATGAATGCTGGTGAAGATTGATGAATGTTGATAAATGTTGATGAATGTTGATGAAGGTTCATGAATGTTGATGAATCATGAATGTTGATGAATGTTGTTGCATGTTGATAAGTGTTGTTGCATGTTGATAAGTGTTGTTGAATGTTGATAAATGTTGATGAAGGTTGATAAATGTTGTTGAATGTTGATGAAGGTTGATGAAGGTTGATGAGACCACATAGGGCAATGTGACATGGTATCGATATGCTCAAAACATGCTACAAGATGTGGTTATTGCCATCCCATCATGGGAATCCAAAGATCCATGGCGAATGCACATCCCTATGGATTCATGGCCATTCCCCAAGATGGGACGATGCCTGAAATGTTGACGAATTGATCAGGAACGAATTGAGGATACCTATCATTTCCCAGCCCAGCATTTATGATCATTTATGGATATTTATGGATATTTTATGATCATTGAGATTTCGGAGTTCTATGGGGCTGCAATTCCTACCGTTGCTCACACTCATTCAACACGGTTTTGGGAGATGTTGATGGGACAACTCCAAAAGGTCTTCTGTTAGACTTATGAGGCCTCAACGCCACAGACATGGTGAATTTGCATTTTGGCCATTGAGAGAGATATAGAGATATTTAGTACGTTTTGAATCATTGGATATATAATGTTATATATATATATATAAATATATATGTTTATATATATAGTATAGATATTTAGAGTACGTTTTGAATCAGTGTCGTGCAAGTTACCCTTGAAAATGATCACATGTAATTCACCACGACTCTCCAAAAAAAAAGGCGTCTCATCATGGGGAATACCCTAAGTACACGTTGTCATTTACACAGAATCTTGTTTCCTCACAACTTCCCTAGCGGGATAGGAGGTTACACTCTTCTGCCCCCAAAGGGTGACCCTCCAGCCAGTCCCTCGCTGTGGCCCTCACTTTGGCGACGAAAATGAACTTGTGCGACACCAGAAACCTAGAAATGACTCAGCACCTACTGCTGGTTTGACTCTTTCAACAGTATATTGTCAAACAAAGCCATGTCCGGCTGGCTCACAACCGTGCTTCAAGGCTGATTAGCAGGCCCAACTCCAAATTCACAGCACAGCCCCAGAAATTTCTAACCAAAGATGTGGGACGTAGCCCACCATACCATCCGCTTATCAAACATGGCGGTGGGAAATCCAATATCCATGGGAATTATTCAATGGGAAAATGATCCAAAAATGGAATATTCTCCAGGCAGCCGCTTCATTGCCAGAGGCTAAATCAGATAGGCTCCCATGACCCAAATCCCCCAGGATCACCAGCATACTGGTGGGGATGGAACAAACTGAGAAGGGGGCTGGGAAGGGTCCACAAAGTACATGCTTTTAGACAAAATCAAACAGCTCAGCTTAGGCTTATCCCTGATGGATATCAACATTTGGAAGACGCCGTTGTGTTTTTTCCTATTCCGAGGGGATCCTGGAAGCTGTTCCTGGATGTAATGAGGGGCCTACGTCAGGCCCAGTCATCCTTTGTTGGTTTGTAAACGGTTCGTGGAAGGTTTCATAAATCTTATGAAATGGGTGACGCAATCATAAGGAGCATCAAGCATGGCGGTGGCCTTAGCATTGTTGGCCATATTGTAGATCATGTGAGGTTTCCAGTGGCGACACCAGCCAACACCAGCCACATCCCATTGTATGACTATGTGCCATGGTCAAGACATGGTAATCCCTTCCCCCTAATATTAAACACCCCCTAAACGAAACCATGGCTTAGTAAGGAATTTCCACACAATTGGGACCATGCAATTGGGGTGTTTAATATGATCATGTTTTTCGTTGATGGTATGGTCATCCCATGATTATTGGAACGTACCTGAGGATCCCACTTGTTTCCCAGCGCCACCATGGTCACAGGACTACCCCAAAACTTCACGTCGGCGTCCATGTAGGCGAAGTCTACATCACTGGACTCGGCGAAAAACCGAAGGTCACTGGGATTGTCTGAAAAAAACATGGGGGAAAAAACAAAAAAAATACTGATGAATCATCATTATCTCATCTCCCTTAAACCTGCCACATATTGATGGTATTTAGGGGTCATTTCACCTTTTCAGAGAAAGCCCACCACACCAAATGGCCGCCGATATCAGAGCCGCACCCAAATGTAAAGCTTTGGTTGGTCTCCAGTCTTCTTCCTAAAGTGGGTGAAGTAGATCCGATCCTTGCAGCAGGCAGAACTTTTCCTACAGATTGTCTGGTTGGGAGGTTCCACCCGTGAATTTGGGTGTTCAACCCATATACCGAGCAGTATAGAATAGTCATTCCATCATCCAAGAAAGGGTGGGAGGTGGGACAAGAAGACAAATCTGAACCAGCAGCCAGTTTTACAGTTGCTATGAGCATTGATCTCATGCTATGTGCAGTGGTAAGCTTTGAACTCACCTTGACTATTCCACAGATATCTCGAGCCGTCGTGTCACTGATTTGCGACGTTGTGCGTGCTGTAACAAGAATACGAGACCAGAACCTCCAAGCTGGTGATTTTCAGTATTCCAAGAAGTTATCCAAGAATCCAGGGCGCCGACAAAACCATCTATCCTCTGGTAAACATACAAAAAACTATGGAAAATCACCATTTTCAATGGGTAAATCATGGTAAATCCACTATTTCGACTGGGCCATTTTCAATAGCAAACTGTTAGTCATGACCAGAGGGTAAAATCCATTGATGGCGACTCACTGGCTTGGGAGTCCCCAGGCCGCCTGTTGATTCATCGTAGGGTCACCCCAGCTGAATTGCACCACGTAATTCTGCCTGGCTACACCAGTTCCACTGGGCACAGTAGCATTGAAACACTCAAGGGGTGGTGACTGTCTCTTCATGAGCACCGAGATGTCGCGAGATGTCATGAGATGTCACAAACAAAAGCTCTCAACAAACTCTCACCTTGTTTCAAACATGTCTGGCTGACACTAGAGAAAAGGTCTTGCCCAAGTCTTTCGACAGGAACAACTGATGATTGCAAGGCCCTGTGCCGCTTTCAGGTGGCGCCCCCATGGGTGTCCTATGGTCCCATCCGCATCACAACTGGCGCTTCGGAAACTCATCAATTTCTAGTTCCTTTACCCCCCATTCAACAGGGAAATACATGGAATATGGATCCTCCACTGTTCCTTCACACTTCCCTAAGAAACGAAGAGTCACGTTAGTCACAGGTGACCTCAGCCGGAGTCCCGGAAAAAAAGGGAAGTGGATGGCAGTGGAGTCCTAATTTGGCAGTGTGTCAAAACCTTGTACCCCTGGTGAACATCAAAATAGCTGGTAAATGGATGTTCATCCCACTAAAAATGGTATTAATAGGTATTGATCCATACCCATTTGATGGATTACCCCAAGATGGTTGAATCCTGCCTCTTCAAATTCAGTGCTTTGAATTTGCGGTGGAATTTTGCTCATACTTACAGTATCTACCTCTCCAACAGCATTCCCAGCAACTGCTTGCTGGAAAGGAACTTTGGATTTTGACTCGATCAATGGATCTGCAGCAATATGTGATATATGTACTTAAACATAAGAACAGATCATTGGTGACCCTCCCAAACCGCGCAAGTGGTCAATAGCCCGGGTGAGTCTCAATGACCTCGACCCTTCCAAAATTTTGTCATGACATCGAGGAATCCAAATGACCGTGATTTTTGGATGAGCAGCCCTCTCAATGTTTGTGCTAGCGGGGGTTGTACCGGACCCATTATTGACTCATTTTTGACGTGGGATTCTGAGTGCGGCAACATCTGAATCATAGACCATGGATATATATGCTGGCGGACGGTTTATCGTCTCACAAATGTGCGAATGTCTCATAGATGGGCGGGGTGGGGTAGGGTGGGGGGGGGGGGGGGGGGGGGGGGGGGGGGGGGGGCGCAATAACGTTCAAGTATACATTAAATAAAAGATACGAAGGCGTTAAGAAATTTGTGTTGACATAGAAACATGGTACATGTTACGCCATGGGATTTGTGCTGATATAGAAAGATGTGGCATGTTACGTTTTGGAATTTCTGTTGACATAGAAAGATGTTACATGTTGCGTTATGGAAACTGTGTTGACATACGCACATGTTAGATGTTGTGTCCTGGGATTTGTGTTGACATAGAAATATGTTCCATGTTACGTCAAGGGACATGGGTTGACATATAAACATGAAACATGTTGCTGGCTCACACAGGTGCAATTGACTCGGTGTGGCGTCTTGTCAAGGACCAAATTCCTTGCAGTTTTTCCTCTACGATCAAAGGACACAAACATAAACCACAATTGCTACTTTACGCCAGGCAATGGCAATGGCGATTTGACGCGATTTGTACAAAGGCAAGACTTGTTTCCAGCAACTGGCAAAAGGCTATATGCTGACGCATTCGGGTGAAAAGGCCTCCAGCAAAATAATGGAGCAATAGAAAACAAGGCAAACGAAAAAACATTAAAAAGTGCTTTAAAAAATAAATGAAAAGGCAGCATCATGAATCAATGGAGTTTTCAAGCGTCATTTTGCATGGCCCTGCCAGCACGAAATGCACTTTCACCCGTAAATTAGGGTCCAAGAATCCCTCCGGACGGATGTTTATGATTTAAACAATTGAAATTGTAGCATTTGGGTCCCAAGGATGTTACAAGTTGTTTCTGATAATCATGTTTTCAACCACTTGGTGTTAAGAAACAAAAACAGGACGGGGAAACCACGTCAATGTGAATGTTTGCACACGTATTCTCTGATTGTTCCTGAATGTACCGTAAAATATTCCCTTAAACCACCTTCGGAAAAGATCCGGAACCACTGGTTTGCTCCAAACATTTGAGCCATTAAAAATACCTCTTATCCATTTCATTATACTAATGCTAGCTGATTAGTAAACATTTCATGATGGGCGATCATAATATCCAATAACCCAATATAATTCCCTATATCAGCCAAATTAATCAAACCATTTTGAATCGTTCATGTGGTATTCCCATGGTGGAACCTGCAAGGGCTGAGGCCCAGGACCACCACCATCTTCAGGTGGTTCGGGCGCAGAATTGCTATCCTTTTTCTTGTTGCCTCGGGATATGATGGGGAGAACGAAAAGACTTTCCACATGTATGTGGACACATGCATACATTTATTTATATATATATAATTACATACACGCACACACGCACATATAATATATATATAACTATATATATAACTATATATATAACTATATATATAACTATGTATATATATATATATGTATATATATGTATACGTATACATATAGACAGATAATAAATAAATTTAAAAAATTATGTAAAATGCGTGTATGTGCAAGATACAGTGTGTTTGTAAAGATGTACCAAGTAGTGCCCGGCCATGCCGGGGCGGACGTTTCGAAGGAAGAAAACTGGCTAATTATAAGAAACAAATGGCCTATAGGAACGTGTTTTGACATGCAGAACCAATGAGCTGTTGAAGTTGTGAGGAGCATTAACGAATGAGCAAATGCTGGTTAAGATGGCAATGAAATGGCATGAAAGAAACCGTGCACAACTGAGTGAACGAACCAATGAACCAATGAATCGATGAACGAATAAGTCAATGAACCAATGAAGCAGCTAAGCAATGACTCAATGAATCAATCAACCATTGAACACATGAATCGATCAATCAACGAATCAACGACCAATGAACCAGTGAATGAACGAATTAATAAATCAATAAATCATGCGTGAACTACTGAGTCGATAAATCAATGAATCAGTGAATCAATGAACCAATGAAGCAACGCTTCCTTGAACCAAAAAAGCAATGAATCAATGAAACGGCGATTCCGTGAATCAATGAATCGGTGGATCAATGAACCAATGAAACGATGATTCAGTGAATCAATGAACCAATGAACCGAAGAAACTGTGAATCAATCAACCAGTGAATCAATGAACCACTGAACCAATGAATCAGTGAATCCATGAATAAATGAATCAAACTGAATGAATATGAATCAACATGAATGAACCAATATGACTGAGTGACTGACTGACTGACTGCCTGCCTGAATGAAGAAAGGAAGGAAGGAAGGAAGGAAGGAATGGACGAGCTACTTCCTTTTGGGGCTACTTCTTCACTGAGCGACATCGTCCCTGAGGCACCTCCTCTCTCAGCTACGTCTTCGCTGAGCAGCATCTTATCTGGGCTACTGCTCTGAACGGCCTCCGAGCTACTTTCTGTAGCTTCTGCAACCTCAACCTTCGCGCAGCCAGCGCAATGCGTTTTGCAGCCTCCTCCAATTCAGGCATAACGCGGCAAACGCTGCGCTATGCTGAAAAACTACCTTTCGCACACCCATTACATTGGGCTTAGCAACCTCCAGCTGCAATCCCGCGTAGCAGGAGCGTCGCAGCATCACTAATGTTTTCCTGCGCAGCTGTACCAATTCGTTTTGCCACAGCCGCTTGCAAACCCTTATGCAGGAGCGTTGCACCAAACCGACCAACGTGCGCGCAGTGTTGACAATGGGGACAATTTCGCGGCCCTCTTGTTTTAATGATTCTTTTGTCAAAGCGAACTCTCGCTACAGTCTCCTGCACATTTTTCGGACCTGATCTTCCAAAAGTGCTCCGAACGTGATAATTTTTGTAACATTTTGAAGTGCAAATCAAACTCTCGCTACAGTCCTGTGCGCTTTTTTTCGACCACTTTCCCAGATCGCCGCGGAAACACAGACCCTACTGCGGCGACCCCAGGAGCCACCATACCTGTAAAAACACAGGGTTTCGCGCCCGAGAGTGTTTTCACCCGTGAATTCACACGGTCCCGGACTCTTTCGCTTCCCAACTACTTGATGATGAGGTTGACATGATGATGTGGTTGACATGATGGTGTGATGCTAACCATGACCATCCTCCGTAACTCGGAAGTTTTCTTACTCAACTTCCTTTGAATGTATGACCTTTAGGCGTCTACGACCGTTTAAAAAAAGGGACTTCAGACCCATCAAACATATTCAAACATGGTGAGAACTGCCAGCCTATGGCCTATGGGTTTTGCCAGTTGAAATTCGACTCAGAACTGGAGGTCCCGGATGTGAAGATCTCTGAATGTGTGGTAGGCGTGTCAGGGATCCAGAAAGCAAACAGGCCTAGGTATTAGGAAAGAGTTGGATTATAAATAGTATCTGGTAAACGCTTAACTATGGAAAATCACCATTTTATAGCTGGGTAAATCAACTATTCCTATGGGCCATTTTCAATAGCTATGTTTGTTTACCAGAGGGTATACCATGTATCTGGTAGAATATCGAACTATCCAGGTGGCTATTGATCTCTGGGTCGGGGATTCGTAGATTCAGAAAGTTCTGGGGATCAAGTGTCAGGTGGGAACAACATGAATAAGAAATGGGGTGATGGCCCCTAAACCAGTGAAGCTCATATAATAAAAGATAATATGATATAATATGATATGATATAAAATAATATAATATGATATAATGTAATATAATATGATATGATATAATATAATATATACTATAATATAATAAAATATAATATCATATAATATACTATCATATAATAAAATTTAATAATATATAATATAATACAATATAATTTAATATAATATAATATAATAATACAATATATAATATAATAAAATAAAATAGAATAGAATATAATATAATAGAATAGAATAGAATAGTATATAATAGTATATAATAGTAAATAATATAATATGATATAGTATAATATAATATAATATAGTATAATATAATATAATATAGTATAATATAATATGATATAGTATAATATAATATGGTGTAATATAGTATAATATGTATAATATAATATAATATAATATAATACAATATAATATAATAAGATAATAAATATAAATTAATTTAATAGAATAGAAAAGAATGGAATAGAATAGAATGGAATAGAATTGGTATATGGAATAGAATAGAATAGAATAGAATATAATAGAATTGGTATATCATAATATATATATATAATAATATACATCAACAAAACTATATCATTAACCGGGAGACCCGCAAGTATTGTTGGTGCTTCTCACAGCTGCTAACTAGTGATTGAATCAACAAAAGGGATGTGTTCATCAACAAACTGGGGAGGTCCAACCTACAAAAAAAGGGCGTTCGCATGCTTTGACCTCCCAACAGAAAAGATTAAACAATAGCATTTGGCTCACCCAAGGGCGAAGCGGCAAAGCCTCCCAGATGACCATCAAATTCCTCTGCCAGGGTGCAAGTACTGGTCCAGGTAGACAAGAGGAGCCAGGTGGGGCGCCTAGGTGGAAGAGCCACGGCCCTACTTGGAAGATCGTTCCAGTGAAGAGTCATGATTGAGCATGTTTTTTTAACCGCCAAACGCGGTTATATGATGGTATATGTCCTGAAATCGGGGAACCCCCGAATCCCGAGTGTACGAGCATCAAATGATGAGGAAAATAAATGAACGTGATTATAGATTATTATAGATTATGATAGACCATGGGATTGGGAGGACACCCTGTTTTCCGCCAAAGACCTAGAATTTTCAGCTTGGTCAACTTAAAACCTAAACCATACTCACAACGACCCTGCGGATCGTAGCGTGATTTCCACGAAACTCCCGGAGATCCTGTTGGTGACTATGGCGCATGGACAGAAATTTCCCCTCAACTCCCAGTTGGTCACAAAACAAATGGTAAAATGACGAAACGCAGACCGATCATATCTGCGAAACGATCCACCATTTTTCATCATCTATCAACCAACCAGTGGGTGATTCTGAAAATTGGGGTAAATTAAAACGTCAAAACCCATTGCTTTCCCCATCAAACATGATAGATTTTGGGATGATAATCGTGGGTCCCCATGGGTTCAGCTTTGGAACGTCTTGTGGAAGATCACCGTGTGGATCTGGGACTTCTGTCGCAACTTCTTCCAAGATGAACCCCTGGCGGTAGTGCTGCATAGTGCTGCATCGCATAGGGGACGAAAAGCTATTATGGTGGTGAGACTAATTGCGGTAGACTTGGGGACAAAAATGATGCCGCAATGAGTCATTGATGGGTAGTACGAGTTTGATCTTTGGGAAGTCTTTAGGAGATCATTCACAGAATCTCTATACACAGTATAATTAGATATGTATATAGATAGTCCGTTGAATGGTGCATGATGTCAACATCCAATCTCTGGAGCGCCACATCCCGTTACATCCATCAAATCTCCCCACATGAAGGGGGGGCTATTTCACCTGGAGAATCCCATCTTCGTGCTAGCAACAAGATCAGCAAGTGTACAAAATTGATCTTGTACAAATACATCCAAAGTACAGAATGCGAAATGTCACTCACTGTTGAGAATAGATGAAAGCAGGCGAGGCGAGCTGGCACCAGATTTCTTCCATGATCACTACCAGCATCATCCAGCACCCAAACTTTTCTCACGCAAACTGGCAATGATGTCCCTTTGGGAAGAGATGCACACATTGTATTTAGGTTCGTTTGAAATGTTGAGCCACAAAGAAAAAGTCAGCCACATAATCCGGAACTCTTTGTGCCCCATGTTTGGCTGATCTGTAGGTGGCTGGTAGATGTTGACCTCATATCACTATGGTTGGTTTCCGCCATACTCGGCAAGTCTGGAATCCTGCGGGTCTGGTTACAGCCCCCTTGTCCCGCTGGTTGTTCCACTTGTGATACCGTCACAGTATATACCCCAGATAAAAAGTCTGCTGTAGACCTTTTCCCATTTGTTGCTCTAGAAGATCCACGTTTGATTGCTCAGATCCACAATGCTGGCGATATCGTTAACTCTTGGGTTGTCTGGAGCTGTGCTCATCTCGTTAAGGACATCCTGAAGCAGTTCCTGCCCCAGATTGGAACCGAATGAAGAATATTGGAAGGGTGAGACTTGAGCAGGGCTCCCTTTTGAACAAATTAAAACTATCCCAACAGCGGTGGATCCACTTTAAGTGTTCAAAACTTACGTAACTAACACGCTTTCCATTTGCCACTGCTCATCTGGATCGCTTGATCTTCTTCAAGATCATGTGTCCAAATCTATTCCCCAGAGTCTCCTTTCCTTTGGATTTGCCGGGGGCATGATTCCCAACGGATTTCCTCTGGTGGATTAATCACAGGAAAATAAGGCATCCCATGTTCAGCAAATCGAGGAGCTTTTCTGTGGCATCCAAAAAACGCCACGAATCTAGGAGCTCATAAATCATAACATCACAGATCTTAGTGGCTCATATGCTGCACAGCCAGGCTGGCAGCATCCGACTCCCAAACAGCAACTCCGGTCCCCAACAGCTCTTGGAGCGTTGGGCTTCGATGTCTGTTCTGAAAGTAGCATCACTATTTCTTCATTTCCCAGGTCCCGAGCAACATCAATGGCATAAACAGGTTTCATTTGAATCACCGCGTAGCCTTCTCGTGGAGTCGAGGCATCCACAAAGCCATGCCGCTTCAGAAAGGATTGCACGCATTTCATCTTGGCCTCTTCGTCTTCATCGATGGATTCCATCCGGGACCTGCGGGCATTGGATTCTCGACTACCAAGTCGTTGCAGCCCCGGCTTCCACGGACCCTGGGACAGCAGATTCCCCAGTGATGGTCATTTTTCGATGATACTATGGGCCTATGGGCAAATTCATCAAATATCACGGCCAATCTTAGATACCCTGCTAGCTGGTTCGTATACATCCTCATTCAAAGCAAAAGATGACATACTGTATCTAAAAGCATCCATCATTTCAAGGTTTCTCCAACCAAAATGGGAAATCAAAAATCGCCAAGTCTTTGGATTTCCCCTATGTATATTTATATTCATCTACTGGAAAAGAGTATCAAGAGTCACCTGAATAGATCTTTAAAAAAACACCAAGATTTCGCCAAAAAAACAAAAACAATCCACGACACCTGAGCTTCCAGCGTTTCATCACTGAAGGAGCGGCTGGTCTTCATGCTTCGGAGGCCCACGTCATCCATCGCAGCCAAGCCGCTGCGAAGCCACTTGGGGTGGGCCGAAAGCGCCCAACCTCCCGGTTCTCTGAGCCAAAGCATCTGCCAAGATCAGATGGTCTGGGAATGTCTGGAAATCTATATACATATTATATATAGGCCAACATCATATATAGATATATGTATATATATATATATATCCTGGAAATCATTGGAAATCTATATCCTGAAGGCGACTTTTGAAGAAGAATCATGACACTTGCAGCTCAACACATGAATCTTTCTAGATGAATCACCTGCACTTGCAATCTCTGAATGCCGATGAATCGTGTACAAACATATGGAGCATAATTCCAGCCGGCACATTCGTTTGGTAGCTAAACATGTGTTCAGATTTACTGAGCGAAAACGAAGAACATCTGGGAGCAAACATTGGGAAACTCGGCAAAAAGTAAAAGATAGTAGTATAATGTAGTATGATGTATAATTATAGATAGTTGATAGTAGTATAATGTATAATTATAGCGTTATTTATAGGTTATTCCCGACTCCTCACTTTAGCTCATTCCTTTCAGATTCTTTCAGATTTCCAAAGCTGCGGCCGCACCTGGAACTGGAGATGAAGTTGGTTTTCCGGTTGCCTGACACCTTGGCCGATGGAAAGATCAGGCCAAAACCTCAAAGGTCTGGGGCAACCCGCTTTCTGTTTCCACAAATCTGGTTGGGGATGGTTGGGTTCAAATTTGGGCACCCCAAGAAGTTTATATACCCTCTGGGGTGAGTTCACATAGATGTGGAAAACCCATTGTTTCCTTGGAAAGTGATCCGCAAAAATGCTGGCTTTTCCACATCTTGTATGTTTACAGGAGGGTTTTTGACGGCTCACACTGAAATCCGAGGTACCAAGATGGTATTGGGATCCGCCGGACTCTTGGTCATGGATTCCGCAACGAAGGGTTGCCTCAGCGAAGGTCGAAATCTGACCCGTAACCCGCACGAAATTGTCTGAGAATCTAAGGGGAACCCCCAAATCCCATGATTTCTCACCATTTTATCCATGTTGCCTAGGAAATGGCTAGGAAATGGCTAGGGGATATGATCTACACCGTTTTTTTCAAACACACCCATACCCCTAAAAGCTAAAGACCTTGCTTTGGAAGGTCTTTCACCAAAGACCTGTTTTAGGAACAAGAGACATCAAAAGGTATCTTTGGCATATACCTGGATATACCTGCAAAATGATGATTTTCTGTCCCATTGGATTGCAAACTGGCACTCGGTTTTGCCATATGCGACAATCATTTTTTCTCCAGTGTTTGCCCGGGGTCCTCTCGGACTTAAATATTACCAATGAAAAAAGGAAGCATGAACATAAATATATACCATCTGGTTATTTAACATAGCCATGGAAAATCACCATTTTTAATAGGTAAACCAACTATAAATGAAACATTTTCCATGGCTATTAAATAACCGTAGGGTAATAATATATACATATTTCCGAAGTTTGGAGCACGATCCCACAATGACCCAACAGAAAATCTTGTGCATTTTGTTCAAGAATTTGTGATGGAAATGCTGAGCACACAGCACAAGAAATTCGGGTTTCGGATATTTGACCCCCGTGTCCACGACTTTTTGATGGCGTTCCCCGTTTGTCCACGGTTTGTCCACAGGTAGGTCCGTCGCAAAAAAAAAAACGATGTCCTTTTCCTCAAACCATTCACGTGTTCAGGCGCAGAAAACTGGAGTGCAGAGAAAAAAAAAGTGTAAATCCCTGAAAACCCAGTAATGTATCATGTATCCTAATTGGGTCCCAATTGGTGAGACTCTGGGCAATTGTGATCGAACAAGCTCGCAAGTCATCAAACATCGTGGTCCTATGATTGCCCATGTTCGGTTTCTCAGCATTTGTTGGGCCTCAAATTCAGCAGTTTACCTTTTAGGTCTTTCGTTTACCTTTTAGGTCCTTCGTGAAGGTGTGGCAAAAGACGGTCCTTTGGAGAGTCTCGGACCCACAGGGCATATATAGCTTCAGGAGATGTAATATAAGAAATATCACCCTCAAGTTCCATGGTTCCTGAAGTATCAAAGTACTTCATCGAAAGACTGAGCTTGCCGCGGTGATGAACCAGGCACATCAACTGGGCGAGCGCAGTCATCTGAAGTTCCAGTTTACACCGGAAGTTTTCCAATTCCCACCTTTACACCCATTTTGATCAGTTGTACTTCCAGCTATCACGGGGATGGCCCCCATTCTGCTGACTTCTTGCGGCATTCGGCCAGCTTCGACTCTTGCACAACAAATTGTCAACACATTTGTTTCCAAGAAAAATTCTGGAATATCTCAAGTTCTCAAGCCACTGCTTTAAGCTCCGCTTGCATGACAATTGCATCACATCTCATCTCACATCCCAACACATGGGTACTCCTCAAAATCGGTGGTACATCAAAGCCCATGGGTTTCCTCTTAAGCACGACGAATAACTTGGATGATGTTGGGGCCCCCTCATTCTAAGAAGCTCCATATCCCTCTCTCCCCTTGGGCTACAAGACCCTTGAAGAAGTCGGTGATGTCGTTCCAAGTCTCTCCACCATTGGTACTTCGATAGAGGCGCCTGGCTTCCGATTTTGGCGGAACCGGGATGTGACCGGGGTCTTAGGGGATTTATAGACAGATATAGACAGGGACTTCAGGTCGCAACTAACTCCTGGTACTGATTGATTGATGTGGGAACTGTATGGGATTTAAATGGGTATACTTAAACAGATGTTGCCAACAGAAATGTGGACAACAATAGATTTGAGATGATTTGAGTAAAATACGAGTTTATGGGCTTCTTGGTGGTTTGTGGATGCCAATGTGATTTTAAGTTTAGCAAGGGATACATGCTCTTTTCCCATCTAATTCCTCTGAATCGCGAAACATCAAAGCAAATGGCTAAAATCCATCCAGTTTAGTGCTTGGGGATAGCTGAGGTGTTTGCAAATGGAAATCTTTGTTTGTTCAATGCATTGTCCCATGTTACTTTTCCAATATGGGTGGAATGGCTAGTGAATTGCGGTCAAATTTCTTCAACGCCGTCCAAGCTTGCTGGGGACATTTACTAACCCTTAATGCAAACTACTGGACATCATTATCATCCTGAATCAGAATGGACACTGTTGAAAAGTTGCTCGTCATCCACGGCACTGGCACCCCAGGTAGTAGCTATCAGTTGACATTTTTTGTATACCATTTTTGGCAGTTGCCCCATGAAGCCGCCCAAGTCAGGAATGTAAATTTACCCCAAATACCACGGAGCAAAGAACCACAGGTGTTTCAACATGTTGTTATTTTTGTTTGCCAGAACTATTTTCCAAAGAAAAAGCTTCAAACATGCTAGAAAAAAAACTGTAGTGAGTCGGGTCCAATTTTTGTCCGTGTCCCAGGGCGGAGCTGGTTCCACACTATTCATATGCCATGTGCCATCACCCAATTTGGATAAACCCACCAGCCCAATGACATACCTTCTGGTAATTTAACGTAGCTATGGAAAATCACCATTTTTAATGGGAAAACTCACTATAAATGGCCATTTTCAATAGCTATGTTAAATTACCAGAGGGTAACCCACGTTAGCGCGGCGAAATATCCAAATTATATGCTACGCTATAAATAGCCAGTTATATAGAAACCAGTTGAAATACCCAGAAAAAACATGTATATATGCACAACTGGCTCTCTGCAGTATCCTAGTTGTATGTCATTGTCATCCATTTACCAAACTGATCATTGTGACAAACTAGTATCAATGAGGCATTATCAAATATTAATCATACATCGTCACAATATGTCACAATAACTAAGTGTGACAATGATTGTCAGTGTCATTGTAATTAGTATAATCATTACCCCATTTACTCCTGCTGGTCCAAAACATCCCTTCACTTGGTCCATGTGAACTATCCAAAAAATAGGATGTCAATCTGAGATGTTTCTGTGCATTCAAGCTACATGGTATACCCTCTGGTAAACAAACATAGCTATTGAAAATTGCCATTTACAGTTGATCTACCGTATCTACCCATTAAAAATGGTGACTGTTCATCGTTTTGTTAGTTTACCAGAAGGTACCCTCTGGTAAACTAACATAGCTATTGAAAATGGCCATTTATAGTGAGTTTTCCCATTAAAAATGGTGATTTTCCATAGTTATGTTAGTTTACCAGAAGGTATGCATTTTCATCCATCACAATGGGAGCCTTTTGTTCCCAATTAGTTTATGGATCTGGTGACCATCCCCCAAGATGGGTATACAATATCCATCTTTTCAACATGGCACGTATGCATCTCATTATACACTCATGATATCCCCATTATATCCCCATCATATCCCCATTATGCCGTCATGTTGGTTGCTTAAATTCTCATGTTTAACGATTCTGGGTAAATTATAATAATTCACTAACCTGAAATAAGGCGTTTCCTTGGGGATAGTTGCTGGCGGGTCCACAGGTCGCCTGGCCTTTTTCTTTGTTTTTTGGGGGGGGTGGGTGTGGGGTTGGGGGGGGTGAGTGGGGGGGGCGTAATAACGTTCTTTGTTCTGCGTTCGCTTGGACCTTTTTTTTTCTTACCTATTTTTATGTTACGCTTGCAGGCTGCTGCATCATCTTGCACTCAACACGTCATGCTACGCTTGCACGCTGCTGCATCATTTTGCACGCAACACGTCATGCTACGCTTGCACGCTGCGGCATCATCTTTACGCAACCGTCATGCTACGCTTTTGCTGCTGGGGGGGGGGGGGGGGGTTGGGGGGGGTGGGTGGGGCGGGCGTAATAACGTTCTTTGTTCTGCGTTCGCTTGACTTTTTTTTTCTTACCTATTTTTATGTTACGCTTGCAGGCTTCATCTTTGCACGCTGCTGTTTGCTTAGCATCACGTCATGCTACGCTTGCACGCTGCCGCATCATCTGGCACGCAAGACGTCATGCTACGCTTGCACGCTGCTGCATCATTTTGCACGCAACACGTCATGCTACGCTTGCACGCTGCTGCATCATCTTGCACGCAAGACGTCATGCTACGCTTGCACGCTGCTGCATCATTTTGCACGCAACACGTCATGCTACGCTTGCACGCTGCTGCATCATCTTGCACGCAACACGTCATGCTACGCTTGCACGCTGCGGCATCATCTTTACGCAACACGTCATGCTACGCTTGCACGCTGCTGCATCATCTTGCACTCAACACGTCATGCTACGCTTGCACGCTGCTGCATCATCTTGCACGCAACACGTCATGCTACGCTTGCACGCTGCTGCATCATCTTGCACGCAACACGTCATGCTACGCTTGCACGCTGCTGCATCATCTTGCACTCAACACGTCATGCTACGCTTGCACGCTGCTGCATCATCTTGCACGCAACACGTCATGCTACGCTTGCACGCTGCTGCATCATCTTGCACGCAACACGTCATGCTATGCTTGCACGCTGCTGCATCATCTTTACGCAACACGTTTTTTTTCTCCATCATTGTTGTTTTCGTGTTCTTGTGTTTTGTGGTCCCGCCAGCACAATAGTGATTATGTTTGTTTGGGGGTAATGGTGACATCAATATTTCTGGTATCATATAACTTTACATGACCACGGCTGGTTGGCTGGTGTTGGAAGCTACTTTTTTTGGGCAACCATGATTGGTGCTGCACTGCAGGTGTGGTCCTCAGCTGGGATGGCTGCGACAACGCTCGGTTGCAATAGTGGATTGGGAGAGTATTGCTGGCAGCATGGAAAGATAGATAGATAGATAGACAGATAGATGGATAGATAGATACAGATATATGTATACATGCGTATATGGATACATGTCTGTATATATATATACATATATATATATATGTATACATGTTTGGTATTTACATTGAGATTTATATATAGAGACATATATATATATATACATTTATATACAGACGCGCACAGTGTTGGCATTTCGAAGTGCGATCAGTGATGTTTTGGGATGTTTGAAAACAAACGCTTCGTGTGAAGAGCTGGCACTGGTTGTTGTCTGCAAGACACAGCATTTCAGTGACTGTTGGCCTTGGTTTAGTGGCCCAAGAACAATTCGCTCCCACGCATATGTCGTTCCATGTTACTCTTTGATCATCTCTTTGAATGTTGCGTTTTGCTGGTCGGTTTGCGCCTCTCTGGTGATGTCGCTTGGGACCACTCTTTGCAATCATTGCCGTGGCTGAGAACAATCACGCCATGGATTTGTATGTCCTTGGAGGAGCTTCACGAGTATGCTCTCATGATGTGCAGTCGCTTCAGTGATGATGTGGAGCGTCAGATTACGATTAACATGGAATTCTGTAACATCACCAGAGGACCGCCTTGGTCTGCCTTCACGGCTGATGTTTTGGCCTGGCTACGAAAAGTTTGGAATGGTGTCTGGGTAGCATTTTTTTTTTTTGGCTGTTAATGTTGCCAGGGTTTCGATTGGTTGCAGTTTCTTCAAACCTTGAGGTTTAGTGACATCTCGCTTGCTTGGATATGGATGTCCCTTTTCGGATACGGAGCTGTCTTGGGAACTGCCAGATCGAGACACTGTTTGTCACATGGCTGTTTCGGGAAGACGCGTAGTGTTTCAGCCTTGGTTTGCCGACAAGAAGTATCACTTGGATGGTGCTTTGAACTATGTTTCTTTCATGTCCTCGCAGAGATTGGCACCTCATGAGCCACCCAGCTTCGCGTCTGTGCAGTTGCCGCAAATCATGGAATCTTTGGGTTTGGTACCGGTCGAGACTTCCCGGACCGAATTTGCGCTCTCCTTTTATGGCGCTGATCCCATTCTACTGGACTCATCCGGGGATGAGATGTGTGTTGCAGACACAGTGCATCCGGAGACTCCTCGTCCTGCAGATGATGTGCTGCGAAGTTGGCGCTATGTCTATGGCTGTGATGCTTGGTTATTTTTCTTAGGACACTTTTTGTTTGGTCGGGGGGAACTGTTCCTGCTTCCCTTTTTCTTTATGTCTTTTTTCTATGGCCTTGCTCAGGAGACTTCACTGTCTCCGAGTCGTCCTGATGACAGTCCATACACAAGACGTTTGAAGCGTTGGAAGTCAGTTTGGCAAGGCGCTGAATTCAGCGATTCATCAGCCAGTCGCACCGCTTCTTCTTCTTCAAACCAGATTCCGGGCCATGCGCGTGAAACTCGCGCGATGTCTCTGTTGGAGAGAGCAAGTCTCTTTGAGAATCGTGAGTCTGATCGTTCTCAGCACCGTTCACAGCAAGCTGCTTCACATGAAGCGCCACCAAAATTCAAATGGGGTGAGTGTACCTGTGGCTACTCAGTGTGCCCATGGGTGTTCAAAACTGGCAAGATGAGGGGTGAATTGCGGCTGGTTTGCCGAGGCTTTCTCAAGAGATGGACAGCAGATGGCAAACCGTTGTGCTGGAACCATTACGAGTTCCCTATGGAGCGTTACCATGAAATTTCGAAGTCTTTGAAGATGCTCTACCAAGATTTGCAAAATGTCATGCATAGAAATTCTCGGCGTGGCAACTCCACGTGAAGCTGTCTCGATGTCGGAAAAAGAGAAGGCGTCTTCCATTGTGATTGCCAAAGTTCGTTTTGTTCAACTTTATGGCAGAATGATGTTATCATCTCTATTGATGCTCATGATGGTAGACAATTATGTTACTCTTTGAACTTATTATCAGTCTCATGTAACATATGCGCGGCCATGGTTTGTGACGAATATTGGGTTGACTCCGTTCCACCAAGATTCGGGGCAGGGTTTACGGCAGAGTCATGCAAATGCCGCGCGCACTCACAAAGATGTAACCGATTGTTGACGATGTGGTTCAAAGCATAGAAAGCCGCTGCGCTGCAAGTAGCCATGTGTGCTGTGCTGGACTTATGGGGAAGTCTGGCTCAAGCAGTGCTGTTGCTTCTACACGGTCACGCCGTGGAGTGATCAAGAGATGTGGGATTTGTGGCAAGTCTGGCCACAGACAAGAAACTTGTCCCCTTCCTGGTGCAAGTCTCGTGGCTAAACTTCGACGGCAGTTGAAACAAAGTTCAAACAAGGCTGGGAGCCACTATGAAGATGATCGTTCCCATGCCCAGAAATCTGGTCCTTGGAAGAAGAAAGCCATGAAAGCTTACCAAGGAACGACTACCAGAGTCGATCAGCGTCATAGGCGGAATCTTTGTGAGATTCTCGATAAAGCTCCTGCTCAAGATGATGAGTCTGCCGTGAAATGGTTGCTGTCAATGGGCTTTGTGCATAAGCCAAACCTTTGTCCCACTTGCGAATGCAAAAAAATCCAAGGTCCTTGCCAACAGACTAGGCAGAATCGCTCTCCCTGGTGGTTCTGGCGCTGTTCGTTCTGGAGTTGTCAGACGCGGCTGCCGTTTCTGAATAATAGTGCCTTCGTTGGTCTTCGACTCCAACCAAAGACACTGGTTCAGCTGATTCTTCACTATGCCTCGTCGAGCTTGACCAAGGTTGTGACCCGAGATGATCTAGTTCAAGCAGTCAATGTTGGATGGCAGCAAGGGCAACATTTCCTAGATGTGTTGACAACGCAAGAAGCTGAAGCAGGGGAACTGTTCTGCAAAACGGCTGTGTTGAGCCGAAGCATCGAATGCGATGCTACGGGTCTGGGTCGTTATTATGTCAAGAGAACCAACCTCTTGATGGCGGACCAGATTCAACAGCTGGAAGACAAAAAAAAGTCGCAATGCAAAGCTTATCCGTGTCACATCCGCTTGCTGGGCCTGCACGAACGTGGAGGTGCTTTTGTCGCAGCTTTTCTGCGACCACGAGCTCCCCGTTTATGATCTTGCCAGGTTCAGATTTGTTTTCACTTGTTAATAATGCATCTTGGCTTTAGAAACGCAAGATACTGTGATTCCATACAGAGCAAGTTAGCAGATTGCTTTAAATATTCAACAGTGATTTCGACGCTAGTTTCTATTCGACGTTTCTTTTCCTGTTTCTGCATGCCGGTCGAACTTGATTGATTTTTGCATGACCGATAATGATCCCGATGCTTGCCAATCAAAGAAATCACTCACTCTGCAATCTGAGGTTGCTTTGCCGAAAAGCCGACCGCCAGTAGAAGTATGGGATGAGATTCGGTCGTCCGGCTTGTTGGACAGAGTTTCTCACCGAGGCAAAAGAGCTTTGTACAGTGATGGTGCACGAGCTTGGATGACTGCTGGCAAACATCTGGGCATCAAATGCTATCAGGTGTCACACCAGCGAAAAGAGTTTTGCCGCTCTCTCTCCGAAGTTGACCCCAAGCTTTCAAAGAAAGCTGGAACACAAGTCATTGACAGAAAGTGGAAGGCATTGAAAGACTTTTTGCCAAGCAACTACCACCGAAAGATCAATGGCCCACATGGCAGCCAAGTCAACCCTCGGATGAGACAGCGTGTCTTTCAGTTTTGCTGGCGCAATTCGCTGAAATGGCCGAGCCCAGCACAATTCTTAAAACAACTGGCAAAGTTGCAAGGAAAAAATTGCAGCGGCGTTAGTTTTCAGGGTGCTGAAAAATAGCCATTTTTGCCTGACGTCTAAATTCCAATGGGAAAAATACCTACATGATGGTTTCGTACCCAGGCGACTCATGGACCCGTGACCGGATAGTTACCCCTACTAACCATATTTACCCAGATGATTTTAATGGTTGCATCAGCATTTTTTCGATGGACAACGGTGCTGGAAATTCTGAGCATCCCAACCCTTTGGCCGTCTGGGTGATGACCGTCTTTCGATCTTCTCCCAGCCACTGGGGAAACAGCGAGCTCGGGGTCATGGGACGGGCACCGCGGATGGGAAAATCGCCTAATGTTAGGATGTTTGAAAATGGGTGTATACCGTATACCCACAAAATGGTAGTTGAATGAGGGAAAATGATGATCAGTTGATCTGAGCGTAGTTCCAGGACGTCTGCGAAGGGAAAATGATGAACCCTGGGATCTAGGGGGCCTGATGTCCAGACAAACTCATGTTTACTGGCAAAAATCATGGAATCACCTGTTGAATGGGCCAGAATGGGGAGAATCTTTTCTACAATTGTGGTGGGGGGAATCTTTCCTAAAATTGTGGTAGCGCGGAGATTTCATGAGATCAAAAAGAATAGATCCTGTACAATTCACCAAGGGTTTCTCAGGTCTGGCAGCAAGGGGATGGAACTTTTGGTGTCAACGGTACCCACTTTTGGTAATTCATGAGCCATGGCAGCCATATCCAACTGAGATCAAAGGAAACTTGTTTCCCCTGGCTGCCAGATTCTTTTTTTCCAGACTAAAAAAAGCTTCAATTCCAGCCCAAACACTATAAATCACTATCAAAGATGGGTTCTGAAATCCCAAAGATCACTATAAATCACTAAACACTGTTCCAAGGAGTCCACGAGTTCGATGCCGTTGCATCGTGGCACCTGGATGTCGGAGACCGCACTATCGAAGACCACTTCTTTGACAGAGACTGGCCGGGAAGGGCTTGGATTCGTTGTTGGTTGACCTCCTAGGTATCACGGACCTGGAAATTCTAACCCCAAAAATGGGATGGCAAATACCAACAGCGATGGGTCAGAACAAGACCCGCGAACAAGACCCGCCCCCAGGGAGTTTGATCATTGTTGGAGGTATTTACTGAGTAAAACATAGTAAAACAATAGTAGACCATCCCGACTTGTCATAAATTTCATTATTGGCGAACATTACCCCTGTTTAAAGAACCACTTCTGGGATCACACCTTTCTTGCCAGCCAAGCTGAGGGTCAGAAATGATAGGAAGACAGCCTGGTGTTGGAGATGCTGGGTGCCAAGTGGAGAAAGTTCTGGGGGGCGAAATGAACCAAGGATTTGAATAATAATAGCAACAATGATAACAATAATGGGGTATAAGGGGATATAATATTATATCATATATAACCTACTTGCTACGATGTGGTTTTGTCTAATGATGAAGTGAAAATATCCCTAAAAATGCTAATTTCATAGCGGAAATTGGATGATGGTTTCCATCAACTCCGGGGACTCTATTTTCAGACAAACCTACTTTTTTAGTATGTCGATACCTATGAGACAAGCGGAATGGCGGGGATGATACCAATGCCAAGGACCAGGCACAGAAGTGTACCGCGAATTGGTTTTTCAAATCTATTTTTTCATCGGTCTCTGGTTTTTCTAGGGACTGTTGGACTGTTGGTTAACGCCCCAATTTGTTCATTCGAATCCTGCAGGTATCATTCAAATTCTTGGGTAAAGTCCAAATGTTTGTTGGTTCAATGGCCATGTTGATGAAATCCCTATGATTGTTGCTTGATTCTTGGCTGGCGAATCCCTAATTTTTTTGTCGGCTAAATCCGGATAGGAAAACCTAAACAACTCAAAAACATGTCTTAGAAAAAGTTATAAAAGTTTGCCATTGTTTCAGCAGGATTTTACGTTTCTATCATTTTCGGGGTTGCTACAATTCAATGCTTCCAAACTAACATCCAACTAAAATTTTACCCCTCAATACCAACTTCCACGAAAAAACCGGTTGAATCTCCATTTTTCTTAACGCCCAACCCTCCGTAGTTTCAATCCCCTTGGTGAAAATCTGAGGCGGCCACTGCTCGCCAGGTTCTACACATGGGTGCGGTCCATACGACCTCGGGCTTCGCGGGTTCACTGCGCCGCATTTCAGCAGGGGCATAATGTCGATATAAGAAAATAGTGATATGTTTAGATTTTTTAAGGATATATCTCTGTGATGTCTAGTATCAGTATTGGAGTACAAGTCTATCTGATATCTAGTAGAGCACAAGTATCTTTACCTGAGTATGCGTAATATTATGTAATATTGATCTAGTGACATTCGGATGATAATCACAATTATATATATAGTACACATATCTCGAATATGATGCAAGCAATATTCACATATATATATATATATATGTGGGGGGGACCTTTGGGGTATATTTCGTCCGTTCCGTGAGAACTATCATATGTACAATTTACATTCGGTTTATTTACAGGCATGTGCATGACAGCGCCCTGGGAATGTATTAACCATTGCAGATGTACTCGAGGAGGTAAAATACATTGTAAATAGACCTGGTTTCTACTAATAAGTGTTGATTTTGCTGCTGCTAAATTTATGTCCTGAAATCAAGTAAGATGATTAATAATCGAAGTGCTCATAATCTTTTTTCTGCATCTACCTGCCACAGAGAAGTGACGACTAAGTTACCCTACATACTGATTCTCTTGTCGCAGCTTCTGTAACTGCTGTTTCTTCTTGTTCTGTTTGTTTCATGTTTGTTCTGTCCGTTTTCCCCACCTGTCAGGTGCGGGTTGTTAGATTTTATGTTAGCCAGCCCGCCTTCCTCCTTCCTCCTCCTTCCTCCTCCTTCCTCCTCCGTCGTCCGCCGGACCCCAACAGCAACCTCCGGATCAGAGCGTTCCCCGCCGGACCTCCACCGCAAGCTCCGGATTAGAGCGTTCCCACCTGGACCTCAACCACGAAGAAACTCCGAAGATATAATGCCAGATAAAATGCCAGAAAGAATTTCGGAAGATATTCCAGATACATATGCCAGAAAGGATGTCAGATAGAATGCCAGATAAAGTGCCAGAAGAGATGCCGGAAAGAATGTCGGAATAGATGCCAAATACATTATCAGAAAGAATGCCAGAAATGAAAAGAATGTCAGAATAGATGCCAGAGAGGATGCCAAATAGGACGTCAGAATAGATGCCAAATAGAATGCCAAAAGAATGTCAGAAAGAATGCCAGAATAGAATGTCAGAAAATATATGCCATATATACTATATATATTTATAGATGAGATATTACTGAGATATCATTAATTATGACAAAACAATGTCATGCTGGGGATCCCTCAAAGTAAAGTAATTAATTTGTTTTCCCTTGTTTGGTTCCCTCTTCTTATTCCTCTTCCTCGTTCTTGTCCTGTGTTTTCTTCCATGTTCCTCTTCCTTGTTCATTTGTCATATTCCTTCCTCTTGATAATTTCTTTTCCTCTTTTTACTAACGTTCCTTGTTCTCTTCCTGCTCTTCTTCCTTGTCCTTTTCATGTTTGACTTTGTTCTTTCTCTGCCTCTTCCATGTCCTCTTTTTTTGAGAGCGGGGGACTGGGGGAGTGCGTTTTTTTGTTAGTTTTACAGCAAGTTGTTGGTGCTAATTGTTCATAAACATCAGCATGCCTAATGTCTCTGCCAAAATGTTCATCCAAATGAAGACGCCACCAACCAAAAAAACAGTAAAAACATGTAAACACTACAATGGCCGATGGGAGGGAGACAATGTGAGAGACTGCCACACCCTAGTAAGATCTAGCAAGCTAAACTATTTTGAAACAGTTGCAAATGCAACCCTTTAATCACCCTTGCAAATTATGAGGCATTCATGTAAAAATATAGTGCTACTTTGGCAGAAGCGATGTCTTCGTTTCACACTATATCTTTCATTCATAAGCTGCATTTTTCGTCCAAGGCAATGCAATACTTCTTTCAAGAAGTAGTATCCCTACGAAATATAGAGGTTTCCCAAAACATGCATTGTTCGTTTCTGTAGAAGTGCAGTCTTCCAAAACATTGTAGTATTAAGTTAAGCATTCAGTATTGCTGTCAAAAGGAGCAATGGTCGATGCACATTGCAGCAATCCTTGGTCGAACTCGATTACTTTTGAAGGAACATACTGCTTCCAGGTTGCAGCCTGCCCTGAAGACAAGACATATATTCCCTTAAATAAATAAACGATATTCTTGAAAGAAAACTGTAATGTGTGGAAAGATGCAGTACATCCTTCAATGGTAAGCCTCATTTTCATTTTTCTGCATGATATGTGCTTTTAAAGGAAAAACTTCACTTCTTTATATGAAATAATTAATTGCTTTGAAGACAAGATAATCCCTGAAACAAAAAACAATATTCTTGCAGAAATACAATATGTGAACAAATGCAATATGTGCTCAATGAAGTTAAGCCTCGCTCCCATTTTTCTGCATGACATTGGTTTGTAACGTGTTTTTTTTAAATAATGGTGCTTGTATTTTTCGGTTGTTTCACTCATATGAAAGGCCATATTTCATACGTTGTAGTCATTACCTGTCTCTTTCTAAACATATTATAGGTACACTTCTACTTCATAGTAACGTTTTTCTTCATATTATTGCCTGTTTTTCAATCAAATGGTTCACAGCCTTATCAAGGCAACTTTTTAGCATACCCGCACCAACACTTTCTTAAGGAATACAATGATTATTAAGAATAGGTACTCAAAAGATTCAATTCTGAAATGCTGCTGTCCTTCTTCCATAGATTCCTTTACCTCTTTAAGAGAACTTTGATAAGCTGTCGCTTTGAACATGACTTGAGATTCCTTTCAAAGAAAAACTACACTACACTCCCTTTTTAAGAGGACTGTGCAAAATGATGCCGCTTTATGCACGTAATGATGTGACTTTATGCAAGACATGTCATATTCTTTGAACACATATTGCTGCACAAGGCATGTATTGAAGGATTTTGCTTTGAAAAAAACATGCTGAAATTTGTTTGCTGATTCTATTTTCAAGTCTTGGCTGTGCTGTATTTCCTCCCATGGTTTCAAGTAACTTTCTGGGAAGGTGTCCAAACCATGAGAAAATCAGCAAACAATGCGCACCTGGATGATGTCCATGAGGCGCGGCTGAGCAGACATGGACAATGGCTCCTGTCCTTTGGTAATATTAGTAAAAACGTCCCTAAAACCAAACAAAAACTAAACCAAAAAACAACCCTATGACCCTATGTCCAAACCACTCATGGACCTCCATTGCCTTCTTTTGTTTTGTCTTTTGACAAGTTGGGGCAGAAGTTGCAAAAGGCCTGGAGAGAACAAAACACACACACACACAAAGAAAAACTCAAGACTCAAAACACAAAAAACACTCAACGGGGGTCCATAAGTGGCTGGGACATAGTTCTTTTTTGGTGTGTGTGTTTAATATAGGATAAGGTTTCACAAGTTAATTCATGTGTGATTGGTGATTAGAATTAAATATTTTGAGGTTTTGAAACTAAGTCATGTATGCAGAAAGTAGCACTCCCACAGTCCCCTGTTCTGTTTTTGTTTGCCGGTCCATTTCCGAGACTGATGTGGCACTCCAACCATGCCAAAAAGAACTCCTTCATGTCATGATTCATGTCCGATTCAAGCTGAACAAAGTTTATACAATGTCTATAAAACCGCTTCCTTCCTGACCTCCTTCTTGTTCTTCCGCCTTTTCACTTTTTGTCCGCTCCTTTTCCTTCGTCCTTTCGCTCTTCCTTTTCATGTTCATCATTTTTTTCTTCTACTCCCTTTGCCTTTGTCCCCTTCATTTCACAATGTTCCTCTTTTTGTGGCTCTTCCGTGCCTCTTGGACTTTTGCCTTTCCACCTTTTTCGAAGACTTACAAGACCTCCAGCAGTCCCAAAAGAGATTTTCAATGATTTTCATGTACGATACACACTATACATAGTATCAACTCGACCTCGTCCCTGTCCAAAATTGAAAAGGCGGAACAATCCCGGGCCCCTTCATGTAGGATACAGGATACGTGCCTTATACTTGAGAGAACAGGATACGTGCCAGCTTGCACCTTCGTCCTATGTTGTTGTGTGTTTTTCACCTTGCACTTGTTTCCGTGTTCATCTTCCGTCTCTTCTTTGTTATTCTATCCCTTGTTCTTTCTTCCTCTTTGTTTCATGTTTTTTCTCTTCCCTGTCTTACTCTACTTCCTTGTCGCCTCTCTGCCCTTCCTTGGCCAAGGTGAACGGGCAATGGCACGGCGGCAAAATGGGTACTCCCGCGTGTGATGCAGACTATACACATTATATAACCTCTCTTCCTCTGTCTCCTCATTTCAACCGTTGCAACTTCCTTTTAAATTTTGTTATCTCTTTTCTTTTTCCTTTTGCACTTCTTGTTCCAATTGCCTCCTACTTGTTCTTTTCCGCTGTTCTATTCCCTTTCCTTGTCCTCCTCTCTCTTCCTCTTTGTCCTCGCCCTCTTCATTTTCCTTGCTCATGCTCCTATTCTTTCGAATCTGTTCTTGGTCCTCGTCTTCACCAGAAGGAATGAGATTACAAAGCGGAAACATGAAGATGAAAATGGAACACACACACAATGTGGAACAGGAAAATGAACATTGGACATGCCAAGGATAAGTAAAATACAAAGGAACATGACAAGTAAATTATTGTAAGAATTGTGCAGTGCATGCGGCATATTTGTCAGACCGTTCCGCGGAAAATGAATAAAAGGACAAGGGCAAGAAAGGAAAGGAAGTAAGAAGTGAAAATGAAAAGGCAAAAGGAATAGGGAAGAGGAATTGAATTCAGAACTGGGAAGAGGGAGTGGAGGAGGGCAAAAAAAAGAAGTGAACTTAATATTACTAAGGCCATTGAGCTGATTTCGGTTTACGGATGAACTTTTTGCATATAGCAAAAACCTATTTAGCGATATTCTTATAGATGTTTTTTATTTGTATAAAAATCACCTCGAAAAAAACTAGAACTCCGGAAACCATCGCCCCTCAAGGCATTTCAAAAAACACACATGGGCAACATTCTTCCCACCAAAATTCGACTTAAATGATGACCCAAACATGGGAAGAA